AGTGCTTGTCTGAGAGCTTGCTTGTGGGTTCGAGTCCCACCCGAGTAAGCTTGTGAGGTTTTTTTTCGCAAGCTCTCGGACAAGCACTGAGCATACAGTGTTTATTAATATACGTTGGGTAAGGGCAAACCCGTTATATATAATTAACATCTCCCCAACGCAAAAAATACATCTTGAAAATACAACTACATTCATCTGATAAGCCGTGGATGACAGGAGAGATTCAATTGCTTATTCAAGAAAGGCAATGCGCATATAGCCAAAACCGTGTGGATGAAAGGAAACATCTTCACAACAAAGTGATCAGATTAATCAGAGGAGCAGCATCTGATTACTACCCCATGGGTGTACACTGACTGAAGAACAGTAACCCTGCATCCTGGTATCACAATAATGATGGGAGGCAGACGGGATCAGTCGTACATCACAGTACCCGGGTGTGATTTGACTGATGATGAAACTACATGTACTGCAAATGTAATCAACAAATACTTCATCTCAGTTACCCAAGATTTGGACCCACTGACCACATCAACCTACCTACATTTCTTCCGTCACCAAAAACGAAACCAACGATATATCATGGGACGTACAGAGAGAGCTGGTGAAAGTCAAGCATACGACACTGGAGGACCTGACGGTATCCCCACAAGAACAGTACGCAAGTTTTCTTATGAACTCGCAACACCTCTCGCTCATATCATCAATTCATCTATCCAACAAAATATTGTTCCTGATGAATGGAAATGAGCAATCGTGATCCCAATTCCAAAGTCAAATCCTTCCTCCCTGGAAAAGTTATGACCCGTGTCACTCACAGACCATTTTGTAAAAATCATGGAAGGCTTTGTTGCTAAATGAGTACTAGGCGATATTCAGCCAAAGGTGGATTCGATGCAGTTTGGCAACTGGAAATATTTGTCAACGTCACACTGTATTATCAACATTTTACATGTTTTTGTCAATGCGGATAAACCAAAATCCTTTTCCACGATTGTTGCAACTGATTTTTCAAAAGCGTTTGACGGTTTAGATCAGTCCATAGCCACATCTAAAGTTATCAGCCTTAGAGTTTGTCCCAGCCTTGTGCCTTGGATTATGAGTTTTCTACAGTCAAAACAACAATGCGTACCGTATAGATCATCCCTTTCACACTGGTCAACGTTGCATGCTGGAATATCACAGGGGATCCGTTTAGGCCCCATAGTGTTTCTTGCCATGATTAATGATGCAACACCTTCTAATGGCATTAATGCCTACAAAATATGTAGAATGATTTGACACTAGTTGAATGTTGAAGTGGAAATGAAAGCTCCAACATGCAAAGTGCTGTTTCCAACCCAACGAAGTGTTCTATGATGCATACAAATTTCACTTGAAACCCTGGTTTACTGTCTGCAGTTGTAAAGATAATCACCAGTTGTAATTTGTCAACAAGTTAAAGCTCCTGGGTATTATCATTCAAAATGATTTAAAATGGGACTCAAATGTAACAGACATTTTAAAGAGATCCAATGGAAAAATTCACATGCAACATGTTTTAAAATGATATCACCTTTCAAGTTGTGACCTGCTGTTGATATACAAGGGATATATCTGCCCTATCCTCAAATATCAAGCTCCTGCTTGGAATGGGGGCCTTACCAGAAAACGGTGTGAAAGCATAGAAAAAGTGCAAAATGTGCTCTATGCCTTAATTTATGCAAACAATACACTACTTAATATGTGGATGCTTTGACCTTGTTTGATATCCAGACTCTAGAAGGAAGATGTACACTCAGTTACTCTTTAATAAGAAAGACCCCCCCTTGCACAAACCCTTTTTCATCCTTTGGAGAACAAAAGAACTCTCAGACATACATATATTATACCTGAACCACGCTGTCAAACAAACCAGATGAAAAACAGTCCCATTCCTTGACTAACACATAATTCCTAATGATTTAGTTGCTTGGTTAGGTTATTTAGAGGGTTGAATCTTATTAGTGAACCGGTATCATTATGTGACATGTCATATTATAACTGTGATAAATTACATCACTTTTAAAAGACACTTTGTAAACAATACCCATTTCAGCCTCAGGGGGTGCCATGTATTGTTGTTTCTCAATAAAACAATAATAATGCTAAATTACTTCACATTACTGCAAAAAAACTCCATCCCATGTTCAGGTCAATATGTGAATTCAGATTTGTCAGCCACATGTACTGGATAGTTGACATTGCATCTGATGAAGATACACCCACCTTGACATGACATCCTATCATCTGCAAGTTCAAAGCCGGGGTTACATTCGCAATAGTAGGATCCTTGGACGTTGTTACATTCCCCATTCACACATCTTCCTGCTTCAGAGCACTCGTTGATATCTAACAAAGACCCCAAAAGAAAGATATTTACAATTTTTTTTCCAACACTGGTGTGATATCCCACTACATTCAAATCCCTTGCAAACTGAAAAGAAATGTGAATTCGTCCATACAGACAACTTGTTTTTAACAACTATGTGAAATAAATTCCAGGTAATGCTCTGTGCTAGTCTCACAACTGCCCACAAATTTGGGCCAGCAGTAGGATGATTACCAAAGTAAATCAGCCAGTTTGGGATTAAGATTTCACAATCAAAAACATGTAGTAAAGACACCATAATGGCAATATTGACAACTTAAAGTCTTTTCTATGAGACAATGTGCAGGTGAAAGACACAAGGGATATAAATGCTGCTGGTCAGGGAATGGTTTCATGAAAAATTGCTTACACTTGGAGATGCTAACATCTATTTCTTGAAAAAGACACATCTTCCTGCATCTCATTTTTTCATTTTTTGGAGTGGGCCCTAAACCAAACTGCTTGATACTTATTTATCACAAAATACTGAAATACAGCCTGTTATCAAATTCTCAATGCAGAGCATTTTATGAGTACTGATTCAAAAGTTTCAGTATGTCCTGTGTGTCAGAATGCCAGCTGATTTCTTTCTTTTCTGTCCTCCAATTGAATCTTCTTGTATCTTCCTAAACATCCTGCTGTATGTGCTGATCAGACCATTCACTCACCAATGCATACAGTCTGTGTCTGTCTTCTGAAGCCTTCTTTGCAGTCACAGCGGAAGTTAGTGTCCCCCACTGACACGCAGTCACCATTGGTGCAGATGTTGGGGTTCAGGCTGCAGTAGTCACGGATTGGGCCAGGTGGCAAAACCTTCGTACACAGGTCCGTGTAGGCAGCTGGAGGAAAAGGAATACATTTTAATCACTGCACTGATTTGACGTTGGTAAGTTGTCAGCTGGGCTTGACAATCATAATATCCTTTCACAGCTGAAAGCTAAATTTACAGTTGATAATACTTAAAGGAGTTACCTAATTTAGACATGCAACTGAAAGTCAGATAAAAAAAGAATGATGAAACCATTAATCTGTAAAAAAGTTTAATGACTATGAAATTGTATGCTGCTGATATCTCAAGCTCACCAAAACTAAGAAAATTTGAGAATTTAACTTCACAATGATTTTCCATATCATGGATCATGAAAGGAGCCTACCTTCATTCGGTCTTGGGCAAGGCTGACAATTTCCCCTGCTGGACCCATAAGCCTTGGCCACACTCAACGAACAGCAACAGTCCTCAAGAGACATGATGCGAGTCAGCTCAGATGAGCATTCACCACTGGACTGGTCATACCGTATGAAACAGAGACCCCTAGCAGGTACTGGGGAGAGATTAGGTTTAACTTGATAATAATTCAGGTAGGGCAAGAGTTGATGCAACACTGTTTTAGCCTGTGTATGGCCCACCAATAAGAACCAGTCATTTCTCACAGCCTATCTTGATTGTTGGGTTCTGACTAGATCCCTGGGCTAAAGGATGAAGGATCAAGATTTTAGTGAATACAAATAAAACAAAATGAAGCCAATGACAGGAGTCTCCCGGCAGAGTCTAACCATTTTATGGTCTTCAAAACATTCCCAAGTCAGAGAAACGCTAAGCTCTAGATTGAAGAAAGGACACTTGGATGTGACACTCTCCCCAAGGCAATACCAAATAAGTGTACGTATAACGTATCACACCATCCTAAGCTTATGCCATTGCTAAGGAAATTTTATACTAATCCTGTAAGCGTAGAATCCTTAAATTTATTGATACAGGGTAACCAAAGGTGCTACATTTTCTGTAACAGCACAAGGAAGAACTGTGAAGTTTGGCCCATTAACACACATTATGACCAACAAGAACTAAGTATCTGATTGCTATTTTAGAAACTGTTTCTCATGAAGTTTCAAGAACAATCCGAGTTCCCCATTTAAAAAAAAATCACTAAATATGGTTTGTGCAAACAAGAGAATAGAAAAATCACATTAAAAAAAGGATTTTCAAATGCTGCAAGAGAGAAATATTCTACAATGAGATTTAAATGAAAACGGATAAAGAAAAAAATGAGGACATCAACAACTCCAAAAGAAAGTTGCCAGCCTGTCTGATCTGGATACAATCACTTCAGGGGTAAAAATATTGACAAATCTGAATGATTTCCGTTCAAAAATTTGTTTCAAGTCACCACAACTCAAGTTGACCTACATGTTACATAGAGGTCAACATGAGTTGGGTGACTTTTTGACTCAGTTCATTAGGCAGGATTATGCATTCAGAAAGCCAGCAACAGACATACCTATTATATGTAGGTAGAATGTGTATACAAACTGTTTTCTGCAAGTTTGAAGATATAGTACTTCAATATCCCAAAATGACTTTAATATTGTCTGGGTAATTTCTAAAGTGCATTTGTATTAGAGCAGGTCAGAGCTAAGAGGCAAAATCTTAAAGTTTCAAATTCATCAAAGATTAGTACATTCCAATTCCATGACAGCAACAAGCAAGCATCTAGACAAAATTTCTACTCACTCCTACTAGCCCAATCTAAAATTTATGCCAAAATCAAGCATTCCATCTTACAGACTTCTTGTGTACATTGCATCCCATTTGGGCCAAAAGTGTAGCCAAGTCGGCAAATGCACTGGTATCCATCTTGAGTGTTGAGACACTCTCCACCGGAACAGATGTTCGGAATTGTAACACACTCATTAGTGTCTGTAAGAAAGGAAATGTCCATAAGGTGAGGAATTTCAAAAGACTTTCAATGTAGCCAAAGTGGCAGACCTAGTCTGAAGTTGAAAGTCAAAAATAACCTGTGCAGTGGAAATCAATCTGGGGCCAGGGAGCTACCAGCCAGGAGTTTGAGCAGAACTGCTGAGGAGGGCTGTATGGCCAGTGATTAGTTCTGTGAGCCCATTTAAGTTGGATATATTATTTTCGAGGAGAGGGAAATCTCCTCTACACACTCATGGATCCATCAGCAGGTATAATGATACTATCTGAAAAATTCAATAACTTATCATCTTTCTTGAAAAAGGCAAACTCCCAGCTCTCATTTCCTTTCTGAAAGAAAATGTCAACTTTGATGAAAACATAAAAAATTAAGGTCCAAACCTTGAGAAATCTGCTGTGTCCTAATTAGAACTGAATTCAAGAGCGCATGGGCATTTTAGAGGAAGCTGAAGAAACAATGCCATGGAAGATCTGTTCTTACCAATTTCTCCAGCACCTCCAGAACATATCACCCCATTCTGGGTTTGAATGAAGCCACCCACACAGACACACTTGTAACCTTGTGGCAAGTTGAGACACTCTCCGCCAGCACAAATGTTCGGAATAGTGGTGCACACATTACGGTCTGCGAAGACAGACATGTGGAAATGCATTATTACAAGGCTGCCAATTAACTCTAATGCACTGAGTGTAACAGGCTATCCTCAAGCTCTGATGCCCACATGTGAATTCTCATGCTAAAAATGTAACTAGAATAATGAAAACCAAGCAATTAATCGACACTTCTCTGTCCTATCCTTACTAACCAATGAAACATTTTCCAGCCAGAAAGCATGACAGTGTGACTTCCCATCACACTATCAATAATGGCATGAATGTTTTGTTTGTATGGGACATTTCCGATGTGGCAGTGTTAGACACCACCTTCTGACTCCAGCAAAAAGATTACTACTCTTACATTCATCTATCACTCAGTGTTGGTAGCCAGGTTGTCAGATTTTTGTATTTTCTTTCGTTCATGATTATTATGAGATTTTCACAAAACCCCTAACGATAGTGAATGAAGCAAATGATGGCAGAGCCAATGACACAGTTGTGTCGATGAAAATTGCTTGTATATACTAAGTACCATGCAAGTGAAAATCAAATAATGTGCATGCGCATTAGCCTGAAGGGACATTACTGCTAGGGAACAAAGTGCCATCTCTTTCTCCACGAAAGTCCACAGAGTCCTTGAAAATAATTCTCACAGCTATGTACATCAAACTGTTATCAAGGCAATTCAGTTATTCAATAGGTCAATTGATCTGAGGGGGCACGGGTCAGGAATAATGAGACCACATCATTGATGTTCCAACTTATCTAGACCTTCCTCAATGGAGATAAGAAAGTGACTTCAGGCACCCAAAGTGCATCTTCATTTTCATGTACAGTGTATGAACATGTACATGCTTCTGCTGCCATTTATCAAAACAGAACTAAAACTCAAAGCATTTTCTTACCTTCTTCTGTTACACAGCTCAGCCCATTTTGGCTTAAAGTGTAGTCAGTGGGGCAAATACACTGATATCCATCTTGGGTGTTGAGACATCGTCCACCGGAACAGAGGTTGGGGATGGAAATGCACTCATTTATGTCTATGAAGTCAAAAGAAAATTCAATTATAGAACCCCTTTCTTCTGTCCAGATTATCCAGTGATCACTTAGACAAAACTTTATTAGGGTTGTCAATTTAAGACAAAGCCGACTTGCAGCAAAACTGAAGGTTTTCCTTACCGAGTCCTCCAGGTCTCAAAGAGCAGCTTATTCCACCTTGACTTAGAATGTAGCCATTGCGGCAAATACACTGATATCCATTCTGAAGGTCACGACATTCTCCACCAGCACAGATGTTCGGGATAGTGATGCACTCATTGATGTCTATGAGGGAGAAGGAAAACGCTCAAATTACAAGACTATCAATCAAAACGATTGTCAAGCTAGAGCTGCTCAAAAAATTTGATTAAATTAATTAATAAAAAATAAAAAAGATTGACAGGGCTTTTTTGAACTGTTACAAAGCAAAAACAATAGGTGCCACTATTTGAAGTCAGTAAATTTGCATTAAACATGAAAGATTTTACTCAAACCAAATAGTGCCTTCATAGTGTGTCCACCATGCCTCAAATAGGCTTATACAACAACTTCAAATAAGTAATCAAAGTAACTTCTTGTGCAAAATATTGAATACAACAACTGGGTAACTTATTTCCATGCTCTACTTTCCTTCTTACAAACAACCAAACAAAATCTTCTTGGAAGTGAAGTTCCGAATCTATACAGAGCCCTCAAGTGATGAAACCAATCATTATTCTCACCCAACAAGCATCCAGAGAAAATTTCTACTGACATTTAGAACAAGCGTCTATAAACACTGGCATTGAAGGTTCTTTCTTACCGTCTTCCCCTGAACTTCTGTAACAGCTTGTCCCATCTTGGCTTAGAGTGAAACCGGGGCCACAAATGCACAGGAATCCACCAGGGGTGTTACGGCATTCTCCACCATAACAAATATTGCTGATGGAAATACACTCATCAATGTCTGTGAAGGAGACAGAAAGTTTAACATTATTTAAACAAGGAAGCATATCAAAAGCTTTTTGTGGATTTCTAAAAGCAGGGGTTAAATGTGAAAATAACAGATTTTAAGGGACCAGCGAATATTTGGAAAGGCCATTTTATGGAGAGCAGATATGCTGAAACAATATATAATATGGGTAGACCTTCCCCACATTGAGGCGTCACAGACAATTTTTTTTCAGAGACTTCAAGACGAAGTGCCTGGCACAATATTTTCTCCCTCAAACATGTCAGTTCCCAAAGGTCCATAATACAGGCGTATCACAACAGTGAGCCTCCAAGCGTTTGCAATGCATTGGCCAATCACAGTGCACGAAATTTGTCAACCCAATGCGCATTTGGAAAGGGTCAACAAATTTCGCATTGTGATCGGCCAACGTGTTGCAAACTCTTGGAGGTGCACTATTGTGAATTGCCCGTATTCAACATGTGCATTTAACTGCTCCATAACCCTGTAGCAAGTATGGCCACTGACTTGGGCTGAACCCATTAAGCGCCAGTGGTACTTTAACAAGGATTTAAGATGTTCACAGAGATAAGGGGTAAACAGCTCAGTGTACCTAACGTCATCAATGTTGGCAATGATTATGGATAAGGCACTCAAAAAATGGCATGATCTGAAGGGAAACCAATACGTATGTGCTAGCAAATACCCCGAAAATGTAATTGTAATGGTCTAACAAATAGAATCTCACAAAAAAGTTACACACTTACCTTCACATCCCAACGTAAGAAGGTTGAGAGCATAGCCTTGCGGACACACACAGGCATATGATCCAATAGTGTTGGTGCAAGTACCACCTTGACACAGCCCTGGGATAACGTGGCATTCATTGGAATCTGCAGTGTGGTACCAGAATAGAAAGTTGTGGCAGAGAAAAGGAACCAACATTTTAAGTTGGACCTGTTTAGGTGATGGGATTTGTGCATCACACAAAAAGGGCTGCATCATCTAACCAAGCAAGTCATTTTGTTTCACTGGTTTAACCTTTGAAAAAAGTTTTGAATGGGGATTTGAACTGCATGAAGTGCCTAGGCAAAGCAATTTTGCAATACAACCCTTGAAAATGCATTGTTGTGTTTCAAATAATCTTATTTCCAATTTCTGATTCACTATTTTTAACAGTTTTTGGTGCCTTTTTGGTTTACATGATAACATAAATTTTTATTTTTCAATGACATCACAGCTGTGATGTCATTTCACAAAGAAAACCTCAATGCCGCATGTTCACAAAAATGCCAAATTTTTGATATTTTTCTGTTCCAATTTCCTCTGTCTTTGTTGATTCATTATGTTTGTACATGCTAATAAGCCAGTGAGCAACTCTTTCTCGGAAATGTTTCCAAAGAGAAGACAAACATTGGAACCAGTTGATAGTGAGTTTTTATTTCATCAGTTCACATGAAAAATTATCACTGTGAACGATTTAAGTGTCATCCTTAGCTAAGGTATTTTAACATCTCCATCACAGGCAAGAATGGATCCCACTGACAGCTTTACAATTGTTTTCCTTATTAATCATAAAATTATAGAAATCAGATGACTACAGCCTAAAATACCACTGGAACCACATTGTTTTCATTGATAACAGTTGGTTCTCTTTGAGTTATTTCCACATTCCACAAAATGTGATCAGTTCATTCTCTCTGTAAACTTCTCTGACATGCCCCCTGATTACGCTAACCAATCTGGTTTACAATGCAATTTTAACCCTACGGATTATTAAATCCTTTTTTTTTTCACCTGTGCACAGGCCAGTTCGTGCATCAATGACGAATCCCCTCTTGCATGGGCTCTCAAAAGTGAGGCAGGCCTCACAGGGATTGGAGCCCCACCCCTGACCAATGGTGGAGCAGCACAGGGCCTTGGTGCATTGTAACCCTGGAATCTCTCCTGAGCAGATACCAAGGTTGAACTGCGTGAAGCACTGCCCAGTGCGGAAGTCTGAAGAGATTGAATGCGAACTAAATTTAAAAGATGCATGCAAATAACTCTTTTTAAACACTTCACAAGCACTGTGGACCATTCATATATGTGGATCATCGTTCACCAGGGGTAAACATCAAATGAACTGTAGCTAGTGATTCCAAAAGAGTTGTCCTATCTTCCCATCTTTAATTTTTAGGCGTATCCACATTGTCATGAGACATTATATTCATCACTGCCATAATGATCATTTTGAAGACCATAATGTTACCTAATGGGATTATTTGTTGTGTTATTCTGATCACAGCTACAGCAATCATTACACTGGGAAAAGTAAAAGTTGGTTCACACTCTGTGCATGGGCAAAATAAATATTCCCCACTTATCCACGGCAAATACACAAGTGATGAATGTATTTCAGCTCAGGCGAATTTGTTGCAAATAATGCATGATATCACATTTACGCCTACATTTTGCATTCTATGAGGCATGAATAAGCCTCCAGAAACTGAATTTTATATTCAGAATGAGAGTACTCCCAAACAAATAAAATTTCATAAGTTGTTTGGTATCAAAACAATTTTCCACAGAGCAAGTTTTTTTTCTTGGTAACAACTCAACAACTTCAATAAAAGTTACAAGTGTAATACAAAGGTGTTACAGCATTGCGAAGCACATCAACTAGCTTATGGTTTATGCCCATGATTAAAAGGTGAACTTCCCAACTGTTGAATTTGTTGCCAACTCCTCAAGTATGTAACCATATCAAAGTTCCGTTCGTGTAGATTTACTGGTATTCACGTGCAGCCATTTGGTAAACAGTAACTACGTGTGCATCACAAAGAACATTACAAGCTTTCAAACAAAAAAGAGTCCGGGGTCATGACTGCAACTAGACAGTGATGAATGTGCACAGCCCCAAGGCTAAACCCTAAAGGAAACAAGGGCCAATTTTCTTTAACTTCCACCTGTCACTATTTCAACATTAAATTTCCTTCAGGGCACGAGGGGGGAGGCTGAGGAAGCTGTATGCCAAACACCAGTGCCAGTGGGACAGGCCGTTGTTTTTATTGGTTTGGCGCATGCACGTCACTGTCAAACCTTGAAATCTTATTTATTGATATTACATGAAGGAATGTATAGGCAACCCTTGCTGGAAGAAACCAGTGACCCCCTTCATACAGTTTTAGCATCTGATATGTGGGTGCACGACTGGCAGCATGATTTCATCTTAGAGTAACACACCAGCCAGGTGCACCCACATATTTCTTCAAAATGACCCACCTGGTCTGTCTACACACTGTAACACATGCAAAAATGATCTACATAAGGTCACTGAACATGGAGTATATGTAGTTTGCAGCACCAAACCTTTGTTGTGCTTATTTGAATATGAGACCATGACTATTTCACACTACTGTGGGCACTGATCACATTTCAAAGTGTGCACTGGATGATAAAATGTGACTGGAAGAATGAAAAGAAAACAATCTACTACCTTAGTAACATGGTCAAAAAGAATCTGAAGGTGACACAAGAGCACCAGTGGGATTGGGAGCTTTATCAAATTATCTTTTGGAAAAAAATGCATTTACTGTGAGTGGCAGAGAATGGACAGTAACAAACTTCTGACAACAAATCAAAATAGCACCTTAAGAAGCGATAAACTGACTATTCCCTGTTGACCCTCAATGTAGGCATTCTTTGTTTACTGGGAGAAATCAGGATATCTCTGGGCCACTGCAAGGTTCAGGGCATAGGCCATCTCCAGTCAGGGAAGTAATGCTTTACAGCAGTCTTTTCAGGAAGTGGATCAAGGTTGGTAAAAACACCTACAATGCCTTCTGCACAAGGTCAGAATGTTGATTTCTGAATGATGTTTGAACTGTGTTGGAAGGGATGATGTATATCAATTCAACATCGATTGCCAGTGCTGTGTTCTTACCGGTTTGGCACCTGCTTCCCATGAATCCAACAGGACAAGAGCACCTGTTGCCACTGATGCACCTGCCCCCATTCAAGCACTCAGGGTTACAAATTGCTGTGGACACAAAAAAGACACCAAGATCAAACTGGTAGTCAATCCTAATTTTCCCACGTGTTCATCAAATTATAACGCTGTGGACAGCTCAAGGACTGAAGAGTTTATCTTTCCACTAGATATGTCAGCTGGGAAAAGAGACAGGAAGTCTCAAAACTACCCATGGCCATGACTTTGTTCTGTTTTTCAACTTTGAGTCCATTAGTGGAAGTAAAGAGATCATTCATCTGAGGAAAAGCACTATGTCCTTGAAGAATAAATTGCACACAAGTGAGAAGGTGCATTTTCTTCCATTACGAACAAAATTGCAGACACAAACTTATTGACTTTTAGAATTCCAATCCTTGTATTTTCTTGATCACTAGTCAGCTTCTTCTTGATCAAGTACAACATTAATTACGACTACAAATAATTAGCCACAAGTATCTTTCAGTTTCCAACAATGGAAAAGAATAAGGACACAAGAACTTGAGCAAAGTCAATCTTCGACTGAATCCTGATGGCAACAATACCCCTTAAATGTAAATATTTTTCCTGCCACAGCAAAGCAACTTTACTTTCTATCTTGGGAGTAGAGCTTAAGAGAAACACAGTTTTGCATGCACAGATTTAACATAAACAATTGACCTTCCTTCACCCCACTAAGATTAATCCCAACTAAAACCCCATCAAGAAAAAAATTACCCTTCATTTGACCCTGTAATATTTTCAGTAGATTCTAAAGGAGTGTCATATCTCTCAGGACAAATGTAATTTTGCAACGTCTGCGAAAAATCACCGAACATATTTACTCCCATTTTGTCACAATGCATCAACTTCAAGGTTACTTCTATGCCTACTTCTTTCTTTGTGACCATGGTAAATGTGGTTAATATTTTGGCCTGTGATATGGAATGAGTAATAAAAATTTTTTGCTTTTTTTTCATTCGCCACAATAGGTTTACAGGAAGAAAGAATTTTATATAACAGTAGGAATGACTTTTTTTACATACATGTAAAAATGCACTGACCTCTAGTATGGGGTACAACTTGACCTTTTTCCAAAACTCAACTCCTTAGAAGAAGCTCCATGCAAATCCTAATTGCCTTAAGCAAACTCATTCTGTAAGCTCTTTGGAAACGTTTCTTGGCAAAATGCCAGCACTGACCCAAAGCAGAATGTACATTATAAAACTGGGCACATCTGATTTTGTCCAATATTGATCCTCTCCTAGCACATTGATTTGTGGACTTGGAACTTGATAAACTCCTGGCCTTGCCCCCACCAAATAGCAGGTCAAACAAATTTCCTGGTGCACACATCTTTCACAGATGTGTAACAAGCCTGACATGTTGTTCCCCGGCTGCTAAAAACACACTAGTTGTGTCAGATATAAACTGTGTTATAATGGTATCTTCGTCAAATTGCATTCACAAATCCCTTTTCTACTCCCATATTTTACATACATAGTTTACGGAAGCATATTCAGAGAAATGTGCCATATAACTTCCTTCTAATATGGAAGGAACACTAAGGTGGTCCCATTTCTCAGAAGCACTCAAACTTAAGTGCTGTGTACACCAGTAAACCAAACCAAAACAAGTTTGTCAAGTTCTGAGCATGTGGGGTAAAGGAGGCATACATGTAGGTCCCCAATCACACTGCAGAATACTAAATACTATATTAATTTAAATAATTATAAGCAAGCCACATCCCATCTCTTCCAATAATTAGTAAACTTTATTACAAGCTTGTATTTTAAACCATTCAAAATACTTCATTGTTCATGGCCACAAAAAATAATTGAAAATACCTCCAATGAGAGGGAATGGACATGTCTTTTAATGTGCTTCTCGTTCTGGGGTTGTTTGGCAAGGTCAAGTCAAATAACTGGTTCACAGGGGACAGCCAACTTAACAGTTCATCTGAATGGCTTGTGAGTTGTGACTTCACTCTAAACTGGATTGTAGTCAATGGTCTCTCCTACAACACTACTTTGAATATAAATATTCCCACTGACCATTCTAAAAGATCAAGGACACACTAACTTGTGCAAAAATCTTAATAAATATGTCTTTGCTCATTCAGGATGATACTAAAGTAGCAAAGCTCTGTTTGGCAATGGATCGCAGTGCAATGCCAAGCTCAACTTTGGGCACATATGGACATATAAAGTTCAGCTCAGCATAACTGGAAAAACTGGTCAATTATTAAACGCCCGCACAAAATTAATTTTTGCAAAATTTTAACATGCATTTGCAAGCTCCTACAGATCTGAAATTCCAGATTTGTTACTCAAGGTTCCAATTTGCAATCTTCAGCCTTTGCTAAGCAAGTTCCACACCACAATCACTTCCCACTGGCACTACTTCAACAGAATAAATAAATAGCAAAACTGGGATACACTTGTGTCATCCAGTAGATTTCAACGCTGAAGTCAATCATCCTCTTTTGGTGTAATTGGTCTTGTAATGAACTGAAAGGACGTGACAAGGGTCTTTGGGATCTCAACTTCCTTTATAGGCACATGTTTATAAATATATAATTATAAACAGAGTGGGAAGAAGCCATGGCAAAGTTCTAACAACACTGACACACAACCCCAGCGAGCCAACTCTAACCGCAACCCCATAAATTAATGTGATCCCACACAAAGCAAATCGGAACTGACTCTGACTGGGAACAAATTTTCACATGGAAATCACATCTGTAAAATTGACTTTTGGAAGGTTTCAGATGTCTCACCTCATGACCCTGGTGGATTACCCCCTGTATATTTCACCTTCTGCATCTTGGGTTGTTTTCGAACAATGCTTACACTATTTTCACATTACAGCATGCACACACTTTGTACAGGTGGCTGAGGAATTACTGCTCCATTTCTTACAGTTGGACAATTTTTGAATTACACCTTTTTTACTAGTACACAAAAGTGTTCGAGAACCAATTTGTAATTCACATAGTGATGTGCTTTGTCTTTGCCTTAACTATGATTCTGTTTTAAAGATTACTTCAACAAACCAATGACTACATATAATTTATTGCACTACCTGTGCCCCCAATTTGGTTTTCCCACTTTTTATTCTTCTATGGTTTGGCTGAAGTTCATATACCTGCAGCAACTGAGTATAGTGTGGTTTGCTAACCACACAATTTATTCTTAACTGAACATTTCTGACAGGATGTCCATGCTTAATGGCTGGCACTTAGTACAAATGGGTATTCGAATACTTCCACCACCGGGCACTACATTAAACTCAACCTTGTTTTTATGATTAATAGTGAAATTACTATTGGCACTTTTTGACTAAAGTAAAAATGAAGTGGTAACATGTAACATTTGCATGGATTGGTGACTACCTTAAATTGCAGATCAGTGAAGTCTGTTTATTACTGGGTTATGTTTGAAGTCGTTTACATCCACCAAAATAGAATTTAGTAATACCATCATGTAAGTGAAGACAGACTCGACATCAAATAAATACATGAAATTTAAAGGGTTAGACACTCCAAACAAATAAATATGTTAATTGAAAATATACTGCAAATTAGTAGCCTAGAAGCACAACGGGGAAGTGTATTAATAAAGAAAATGTCCAGAAAAACAGAGAGACACTTTTAAATTCATATGATGCTGGATAAAGTCTGCTGCACTTGGTGGCCAAAAATATAGGTACATATAACAGCACTTTTCTCTTGCTTGAAAATGGCTTCTTGAAAATGGCATTCTGTCTCTTGATTGATTTAAAGAGGGGCGTGAATGGCCACTTTAAATTAAAGATGAAAACAGCTAGCAACAAGCTGAAATGTAAAAAGCTCCCCCATTTTTGTACAGACCAGGTGTACAAAAAGCTGAAATTCAGGGTCAACATCTAAACAAAACAAGCTGAAATCGGCTTAAGAGCTGAATTCTCACATCCCTGCTTAGAAAACATAACATTTTGATCATTGTTCAATTATTTTGCTGTGCAATCAGTAACAAGATTACAGGTGCAGCACAAGAGCTTCATTCTGAAAAGTAGCATGCATAATGCAACAACAGATTTATACAATCAGCAAATGAAATTCAACATAATATATGCAGATGCACCCTTGATCTTTAGTGAAAGAGTGGAAAACAATCATCTCATTAAAGTGAAGCTTCACTTATTTATCTGGATAAGCTTTGAGTTATTCAGGCGACTGACAATAGTGTGCCTCCACAAGTTTGCAATGTGTTGGCCTATCACAACGCATGAAATCTGTCGACTTTGTTTCCAAATGCGCACTGGGTGGACAGACATAGCACGTTGTGATTGGCCAATGCATTGCAAACTCTTGAAGGTGTACTATTGTAAAATGCCTGTATTAACAAAGCATCTCTAAATTTATCCAGAATCTGTGGGTGAAATTTATTTAGCCACCTTGTGCGATCTGTTGAGTGTTCCATGCAGAAAATAACAGATCACTTCTGACGGCTGGGCTCTCTCTAGAGCTACAGAGTAACCAAACAGTTAAAGAGCACCTCTCAAGAAAACACATTTTCTCTGGTTTCATCTTTCAAAAAATATGGAAGTATCCAAATCAAATGCAAAGTCATTTGTCTTCAGAGCTCAATTATACAAGCTTAAAAGGGCTTTTTTCTGTTCATGCCAAAATGTGAATTCTGAATGTAGATTGCATCATTCTGAGAAAACATAGAAAACGAGGGGAACCCTCGCCCTGTGTTCGTAGTGGATAAACCCTTGGCCACTCTTTGGCATGTACATGCTATTTTTCTGCTTATTAAGCAGACTGGTATCCTGGTACCGCAATGCCGGGCTACCAACTTCCCTTACAACTTTGGAAATTTTGGCAGTGTCACGTTTTTGGAAGAATAAATTTTTAACTCCCCATCCCCCCCTCAAGAAAGCAAAACTCACAGAATCTGCTGATTCAAAATAAGATCCAACTGGGAAAGACTTACGATCAAATGGGCCAGGACCAGGCAGTGGGTACTGGCCATCCACGATACCGCTGCCACTACACCCAGTCTCACCACAAAACGTGGGGGGCTCAGGCAGCACTGGGAGCCCGTAATCACCACCAACACCACCATAGTCAACAATTTCATAGTCTCCCCCTACACCCGTTGCTTGATAGGAAAAGGGTTAGAGAAACAGGGTGCAAAAAACACAAATGAACAAACACAAAATGAGACAGACACATGCATAAATAAATGGCTTCAGACACTCTCCATGCACTAAAAACAAGACAAGTTGAAGTTATGAACAGTTAATGTGAATTCACACAAACAAATCTTTAAGTTCTTGAAAAGTCAACATCAAGAGGCCTAGTGAAACTACATGTACCCTGCCAAAGTGATTTATTTAAAATTTTATTTTTCCACTGAGAAGACTGCATTTAGGGAAAATGGAAAAGACAGATCAATGAGGGTGGCTAGTTTAACTGACCCATTAAGAGTTAAGGCAGTCAATCATTATGAATGAAACCTCACTGAGCCTGCATTTTTGGCAGTTATAGAGATATACGTACACAAATCTTATTTAAAATTCCTACGTAAAGTCTAATTCTGACATCGAAATTTGTTGCGCGCGAGAAAGAAATATGTGTAAGCCACCCATAAAAGTGAGTATTATCTTATGAGGTAATGTGGTTGGTAAATGACACAGCCTATGTAAAGTACATGTACATGTACTGTACATATACTTTATTTGCTATACATAATTAGATATAGAACTCTTCCAAATGAGGCAGTTTTAGTACAGCCATTTTGGGATTACTTGTCAAATATACATGAATAAGTAGTAAACAAATGAATTTAGAGACACTGTGAAAATCTGTGTGTCATACTGTAGAATAAATGCATGTGATTGCCACAGACTATTTGTATCCCCAAAGACCTTGGCACTACATCTGGTGATCATTCAAGTAAAAAAAAAGAGATATTTAATACTGCACCTTTCAAATTTCTCAAGAAAAATGTTGCATTGTGGGATGTCAATGTCATCTCAAGCTTGTATACTACAAGCTGTTTTACTCTCACCTTGACATGGTATGTACAGTAGAGATTTGTTTTGAAGTAATTTTCTGCATAAAAGGCATTTTTTTTTAATCCAGAAATGTCTGCAGAAAACGCTGCAATTACGGACAAATTCAGTGACGTTAAGTTTTGTTAATTTTCCAGCATTAAAACAAGACTAGAGGGAGTAATACTTACTGTCGGCACCAACCCCATCACAGTTTATCCCTCCGAATGCACACTCCTGGCCAAGACAGGTGTTGGGCGTACGACAATACCCTGATGTACATAACCTGCTACATATGGCTGTGTAGATATGGGGGGATCACAAAATATTGCTCATTTATTTCAGTTACAAAAAGAAAAACAAAATAAAAATAGCTTACAATCAGTCACTCAGTTTATAAGCTTTGCAATGTGGTCAAAACTAAACTCACTGATACAAATTTAATCGTAGCACTCTACTATTCTGGGAAGAATTCGCACACCTATATAATAGGGGACTCTAAAGTAAATATTGTAAGTTAAAGAACCTAATTCTATTCAAACCATTCATTGAAGTGTTGAATGACCCCCCTTTCTGTCATCTCAAAAACTTTATAGTAGTCAAAGGGAACTCTTTGCAAAGTTTGTCTCTTTGATGAAGATATCATGTTAGAACTTTGGAGACCAAACTCTGCATATGTACAAGCTACTATTATAGCTCCATGCTGTATTGCATGCATAATGAACATTCCTGTTGGTTCCACATCTGACGTTGGAACTACTTTCTCTCTCTGGTTAAACGTAAAAACTTACGCTTCGTGCACTGTTGCAATCCAGGATGAAGTTGCCAACCAGGACAGCAATACGCATACAACCTACGACCACAGACGTTGGGACTGGAAGGAAAGAGTAATTGCAAATCACTCATAAGTGGATATATCACTAATAACTATCATTTTCATTTATTTTCTTGCCCCCCCATAATGATGCCATTAGGCCTGGTAGTAGTACTTAACATTCCTGTCACTTGAGTGTATCTGACTTCACACACCAAAGTATTCAAAACTTTTAATCAGTAGCCTATGATTAATAGTAATCACTTATCACTTTTCAAAATCTGATCTGACAAAAAAAAAGCAGCAAACCAAAAGAAAAACCACACATTCTACACTGTCTTCATATCAAGTGAAATGACCGACATGCGCTGATGGGGACCTAAGGCCAGATACAGCCATTGAATTTGACTCGTGTAAGCCTCCTTAAACTTCAAGGGAAATTCCACAGTAATCTCTACAGTAATCAGATAAGCCTGCAAAAAGGTTGCTTCTCCACTAAAGTTTTTCAAATCATAAAATCACATGTACACTAGATTTGAGACAGCTAGCGTATGAAATTTGAACGATGTGAACAAAATTATTTCAGTCTTGGGAGGCCTCCCCAACAATAAACTTGTTTTGTATCCTTATCTTGATGACCCCAAATTGTTACGAATTTTGCTTTGATTTTTACATTCGCAACCCGATACATCAAAAAAACAAGTAAGAGAAAATCAAATCCAATTTTCACGGGTGCTACACACGGCCGGCAGCATACCACTCCGTAAATGTTATTCTGGTTCCGTAATGAAGAACCTCGCCGGCCGTCCATTCCCAGTGCACGATGGGCTGAAAGGGCAGTTGCGTCTATTCTAACCATATTCAAAAGATTTTCTCTAGCAGTGGGCAAAAACCTTCAAATTTTAACTTCATATGTCTTTCAGACTCAATCAACGTGAACTCAATAATTTTTAATCGTCATCTCACGAACGAGAAATACTAATGTCTTGAGGTGTTGACAGGTTGGGAGAAATTCAGAATTTGGGGAAACCAAATTTGGGAAATTCTTCGCTGTTTTGCTGCATTCCTCGGTTTTCCAAAATATCAGTATTTCTTCGTACACCGACATGATTTAATACATAGACCTAGGGCTGTCTTGAAGTTTGACAACTCGCTGACAAAACCTTTCTCCAGTTCGTGTTGAGGGACTCCCAACTAACAAAGCCCGTAAATAAAGTAAACGTACTTGCAATAATTATTCGTCCGAACTGCTTTCTGTCAAAGTTGCAACTTGACCAGTGTATTTCGTCATGATAAATCTATGGACCACAGGGAATTGGTGTTCACCTGTTCCATTCCATTCAACCTCCTTGCCCGTTTTTACCTTGAGTTCTCCAAGTAATTGCCTAATTGGTCATTTTGACCTATCAACTGTACACGAACATCTAACTTGTAGTGTATTTTCATGTTACAAAAATGAAATAAAATAAACAAAAATTGACGTATGGGTTTTCCTGAATTTAAAGCTGAAAGCATGCTGACCTACAAAAAAGAACGTCATGTCTTACAAAGAACACGATTTTGTATAACACTCTTTTGCTATTCCGCAGGATTCCACATTGGTGAAATTCATATAATGCTATGCAAGTGCGGTTACGACGATTAAGAATAATTCGTCTGAATGGTGATTTGTAGCAGTTTTCCTGGTCTGTCTTTGTTCTTGCACGCGAAGTGACATTACTCATAAAATCTTGAGGGCAAGAGTACACCTAACGATAACAGGGCTAGTATTGGGAAGTAAAGTAAAACCAGTTGCTGAGAGAACGCTGCTTATCAAACATAGATCGAGGTGTAATATCCGCGCAGGAATGTCAAATAACAATTAGGCTGCATTAGTCCCCGGAATTGTAACATAAATCTTCTTGCCGTGGGCCAATGTCAACCGGGCATATTGATTTTGAGCGGAAAATGTCTAGACATCAAAAGGGTGTCAATACCATAAGTGCATCTTGTCGGCAGGCTGCATTACCTGTCAAAAAGGTGACAGTAATGTCTGTCACACAGTTTATTCAGAACAAAACGGCGATACTCTTGAAAGATTAAAGAGCGACATCTTGAAAGCAAGATATTCCTAAAAAATGACAAATATGCGTGGCTGCAACTGGACGTTTATCAAAGAGCATTGTGTGCACAACTCTAACACTGGAGCAAATTTGTTGGGTTTTTATAAAATATCTGTGCACTTCTAAACTTGCATTTTTCATGAGAACATCAGTCAAAATGGCGTCACATGGACAGCTGGTTTATGGTCAACATGATCTATGGTTTGTGGTTTCTGTGAAAGATTGAAAGATCTGCAACACGAAGATGAAGACTTTTCCTTGAAATATCTTGAAACAAACCTGGTTACTAAACAAAACTGGTTAACTGAAGTCGTCATGTTAAAAAGGGCCTCACCGCAACATTTGTTAACATTTACTGGTAATAATGAAGCAAAGAATGTTGATTTTAAATTTGAGATTAAGCCACATTTAAAAAAAAATCATAATATACTCTACTGAATAAAGCAAGAATAAAGGTCATTACTGAAAACAGATTAGTTTATGTTTTTAATATCTTTATTAAAGAATCATTATTACTTATTAGGTTCGAGTTCACTATATTTCAAGTTATACACAAAGAAGTTAGTTTTTCTATTATTGAGACTTTTGAAACAAATTCAGCAAAGTACAAAAAATGTTCTTTTTATAAAGACAGTATAATGTGATCGTATAAGTTACTTCCATTGAGCAATATTCTTTTGTTCGAAATTAATAATCCCAACATACCTTTCTTTACGTCAAAAAGTAGGTGACCTCATTTGTAAGAAATAATATGACAATCCAAAAGACACTGATAACATACCTTCAAGTCAAAATAGTCGTCATTCTCCTGAAGTTAAGTGTCAAGCACAAAGCAAATGTGACATTTAAGCACAATGGTGCACTTAGTTAACTTGACTGTTCTTGATCTTTGCGGGAATACCAGTGCTTAATCAATATGCAAAGACTGACAACAGGATTCTGCGTGGCTTGACTGTTTGTTCTGTATGATTGTATGATCATCACGAAGAAGATTCATTTTTGTCATTCATCATTTTCACAGATTAACAAACTGCGCATAAATGTTGGTATGTTTGTGTTGTAATAAACTGGACTTCTGCAAACGATGACCGTGCCCACAAAGTCTGAAAAATTATACCATACTAGTCGTGTTGTTGTGGGACCTATCATGGCGAGAAACGTCAACACACAGCAAATATTTTGTTCAGTTCACCAAAAGGACATTCGAGACATTTGCTGATTTGTCCTTGGTCTCGATTCCCAGACAAGTCTGCGGTATGCTAAAAATTTAAAGAATGTCCCAAATTCCCAATAAAATGTCCAAGACCCAATTCCACTGAATAAAGCTGCCTCCATGGGCAGGGTGGACGTAGGTCCAGCAAGACAGGACCCTGAACGTAACGTTGCGTTTGTCTCATAATTACGTGATACGGCTTAATTTTCTGCATTAATAGAGATTTTACTCTAGACAGCCCTCTACAATTCAAACACTAAGAAAAACTAAACAAGCTTATACTTCCTACCGTAGTTGTGGGGACATGCATTTGTGTTCAACACCAAAAACGCTATGGGATAAATATCTGTCCCCACAACTCAGCCCCGAATGTTTAAACGAGTTTCCCCTTCCAACTGGGATGTGCCTAGCGATACAGCTGTAGGAATGCAACTTGAAATAGTGGCACTACAGGGTTGGCACTAAACTGCAATACACAGAAATCCTTTGAAGTAAATTGATCTTGAGGTTTTGTGTCCCATCTCGACGACACACCAGCATGAACGCGTTATTCTCGTGCAGTCCCAAGCGAGGCCTGCGGTGTGTGGTTTTGTTTTGAGGTTCTAACCAATATCCCTAGTAATCCAACATAAATACTGGCAGTCACTAAGTCTTTCAGGTCAGGGACGAATGCCTTACATTTTAAGCCAAAACATTTATCACATCGTCAAAAGTTTCTGACTGCACCCTGACAAGGCGCAGTTGCTCAAATCATGGAGGTAGAATGCTCAAATCAAATCTAGTATCAGTGCTCTAATCGGTAACACGTGTATACACACGTGATGCTTTGTAAGTAAAAGACTATTGACAATGATTTAATGATTGGAAAAGAAAGAGCATTATTTTTAAGTCGCTTTATACTTGGGGCAGTTATGTGTGTGACAAGTGACATCCAGCGAGATGAAACATTTCCCCGTCTGTAGTTCCCATAACTCAATCGTTGAGATCGCATGTTCTCGCCTTTGGCTTGCTTACCAGTATACCACTGACATTTCAGTATATTAAGCGATCCCCAACCATACCCGTCAAGATGCAGACGGAAGGGTGCCCCCTACAATGTCCAAACCTTATAGACACTCTCGACTACTGTTTCCTAAGACATCCCCCATAGGTGTCTGAAAAGAATTCCTGAGATTCCTGTAAGACAATGACCAACACAAAAGGGCTACATACCCTGTAGCCCTTTTATCTTCAGGTTCCTCTTGCACTCCCCCCCCGAAAACCTGAAAGGAATTCCATGGTTCCGTGGTTCCAATGTATGATAGCTCCATGGTACAACACAGGAGTTACCTTTTGCCACATATCGCGCAAGCTGACGGGTCAATTGACGACAATATTCTAACATATCATCGAGCAACCATCTTCTTAATCAGATGATAATTAGTGGCGACAAGGCAAACTCAAACGAGCCGAGTATGAAAGTCTAGGTTCACCCTAGCACACGTGAAACTCGGCGTTCCTTCCCATTCGAAACCAAATCAGATACATGATTAAAATCCTGGACTGTTACATGCTGTAATGGAGAGAAATTACAGAATTTGCTGATAGATATATATTTTCAACTGTTTTGAACCACGTTGCAGGGTTGTTTAAAGTGAATATTGCACGGTAGATTTGTTTTCGCCGGCATGAAAGCTCATAAACGTAACACCGCAGAAAAGATTCTTGCAGAAAGGTTCAGTTGGAAGTCATGTAAGCAATGTAATAAATTCAAGGAAGTCTACCAAGTGTAGCGTGGGTTTGGTTTGACTATACTGCTTCCTCGTACCGCTGCACGACAAAATGGCTACAAGAGGCCTATTAGTTTCGGATAAAAAAAACTGTGAAACCCAAGAAACCCTAAGACTGATAAAATGCGTTTCGTTAAAACAAAATACCAGGAAACAGCTGTACCATTATTTAAAGCAGGATTTAACGTAAGGACTTATACTCGTCCCAGAGTGGATGCCGTAGTTGGGCCTATTTCGTTAGCACCTCTCGCCCAATCAAACAATTCCAAACATTCTTATGAACTGTATGTGGGGAAGCTTTCCTTCTAACCTATGTATGTATATTTTACATATCCAACGGGCTCCAACAAGCAGCGTGTTCTAAGGAAAAATTTAAGTTCCTGGACTCTCCAAAGAGGCGTTCTTTTTGGTCACGCTTGCGGGGGTCACGGTTGCCGACCAACAAAAGCGGTAGGTGCGCAATTCCCTCCCCGGTCGCGGTAATGGCTACCCATCAGAAAAACAGTTGGTGTTGGTAAACACAGCGAACCTGAGATAATTCACAGCTTGTGTCAGATAGTTGAGGCCCAGTGCAAGAGCACATTCTGTTCATGAGTGAATATTTCCAGCTGGAACCAAAGGAAACTGATCTTGACAAGCGCTAGCTAATTTGTGCAGGCAGCAAATTTATGGGTGTCAAGTGACTATGCAACAGTAATATGACATCAACTTAAATTTCAATCTCGTGAGTCGAAAGGCATATGTTTATTTGACGTTATGGCAAATTTAGAGAAGACGTACAACAGAACTAGGACAATAACTAAAGCGAAACAAATACCCCACACTGACTGAGGACAAAGCCTCCTGAATAGTACACTTTGTAATAAGTAAATTAACCGTAACTATTTCGAATCCAACAAGCATATGCAAGATTTTCACTGGAAGTTTAGTTTAGCTCACTTTACAATACTGTTCCAAGAACACGCTCGATTACAGATGAGCTCCCCGTTTCCTCCTACTTCATGATGTTTTTGTTTTATTTTGGTCTGGGGTCTTTTTTCAGCAAACTGTGAATGTACATGTACATGTACACGTAGCTGTCCAAATACGTGTGAACTGACCTCCGATCTGTGCAAGAGGTCGGAAGAGTGCACCTTTGACGCCTGAACTTTGGTACTGGCGGGTCTTTTGACTGCACCGATGACTCACGGGCGACGGGCCCAACTGACTTTAGCTTCACCTTTGGCCAATGCATGCTGCACAGAGAGATAGCTTGAAACAACAAAAATAACCACGGCCTATACAACTTCTTCCCCCCCCAAAAAAATTAGAAGTTATAAAGCGCCGTATTGTCTCAGGAAGTAATATCAGTTCGTGGATTTGCTATCTTGTACACCCGTGGAAATGTTTTTTGTCGCATGTGTCCTGTCGATGTCCTTCCAGAAATGTAGAAATTAGCAACAGGCAAATGTAACGCGCACACCTTGTCCTACTTGCCGTTTCAAAAGGAAAGGTATGCAGTGAGTATTGTTTACTATTACTGAGCCATTTGTATCATAATACATGTAAACATGTAGGACACGTTTTAACCTCCCAACCACGTTCAACTGCCCTAACCCGATACGAAGTTTTGTAATTGCACATTAAGGTGAGGGTTAAACAACGTAGCTCGTTCGCTTGTAGGATTAGGCTCACCAGGTTACGGACACGTACACTGTACATGTAGGTTTGCCTGTATGTAGTAGATGGCAGACTCGCTCTTATACTTCCAGGCAGTTCGGTGTTTTCGCTTATAAGGAACATATTGGTTCGCGCTTTCCAAGCATTTGACAACAGTGCTGACGATACGGGCTTTGGAGAAATGTGTCCGATTTGGGAAAAAAAAAGTTACGTCCACAAAATATGATACATTATACAGATAACTACTAATGTACGCTGGGGGGGGGTGTACCAAGGCAACGTGTGGCAAGCCTGATAAGTCGTGGGGGTTGCGTCCGACCTCCTCGGCTTATCTAGTAAAAGTGGTGTCACGTGAAGCTGTCATCCACCAGCGGAAATGGCTTTCTCAGATATACATTAAATACATGTACATATATTTACCAACAACAACCATCGCATAGTCTCGCTGAAACTAAGCCGTTACTGAGAATGTCACTGAGTCATAGAGCTTATATATATATTATTTATTATATATATTATATATATTATATTTATATTTCCACATTGGACATGAAGGCAACACTCAGGTTTTATAAATCGTTTAAGAATAAAGAGTTTCAGATTAAGAACCACAAATTTTATGTGGTTTATTTACTACAACTCCCATGGGTGTAAGTAAAACTGTATTGAAATTGGAGGATAAAGCCGTGTTTAATAGTAGGAGAGCATGAAACAAATTATGTTGTGCCGATGTCATTCTTGTGGCAAGATGTTTGTACCGTTTACGGACCAACGACATGCACGCAAGGGCAGATCCAAACCCTGGAGGGGGGGAACAAGTAAGCCGCATCCTAAGTGCACATCGCACCAGTCATAATTAAGCAGCTGTTCAAAAATAAATTTCTCAAGAAATGGCTCTTTCCACACAAAACAGCCTCCATGTGAGACACTTAATAATTATATCTTAACTCTTAGTGATTGCGAGACTCATCGTGGTTTTTTTTGGGGGGGGGGGAGGTGTGCATGACTTTATGTAAACAGCCCTGAGAGGCGTGCGTTACGTGTTGAATGCATAGTGCATGTCATCATGCACCTTGAAAAAATGAATGTAAAAAATTATATGTGCCAATCTTCAATCCGCGTGAGAAGAAAGGAAGTTTTGTAAACTGCTGCTTACCCACTGATGATTCTGTACTGGCTCGATCTTGTCTGTGCGGCGTCCGCTCCCTGTGGAGGCGCTCCCTGTGAAGGCACTCCCTGTGGGGGCGCTCCCTGCGGCACTCGGCCAACAGGTACTACTGGACCCGATCCTACGTCGGTTCCTGGAACAGGACCCAGGGCTGGACCCTGCTCCTGGGCCAGAGTCCCAGTCAGAAACATCAGGCAAAGACACGCCAGCCTTAAGACGACTCCTCTCACCAATTCCATCCCCAGGATGCCAATGCTGCTTATATAGCCTGAAGGATAGAAATTGACTTTGTGTTAGACAACTGAAAAGTCCATGCCTTAATTGGCAATAGATTTAATGCAGTAAATCTGCAAGCTGGAGTAAGCAAGCGGGAAACTACCTTTTGGAAAGAGGACATCTCCACCGAGCTTCTTGAGGAGCAAAATATGCTGAGCACAAGGGAAATAAATGGTAAAATCTGCGCGTGTTTTGTGTTGGTGAATAACCGTGTGTATGCATATTGAGGCCGGCCATATGTGTTCGCGAAAACGACAAACCACCAAAAGGATTTACCCATGGCCAACAACCGATATAATATCTGGTTGCAACCACCAACCACTCCCGCCTTAAAGTTAAACCAACCGAAGAACATTGCATTGGCTTGCTAGCAACATTTACAATCAGAGATACTTAGTCTTTAGCGTCATTGCTCGCTCTATAAGTTTTGGAATTGGAAATCAATGCAAAATGGGTGCCTTGCCACGCCTGAATGAAATCTTCTACGAGCAAACCAACAACGATAATCTTGTACAGTCCAAAAGGCGGTTCCTCCATAATGTATTCCCTTCCCACACGTTTTGATTGACATGTCTTCGGGGGGTTTTTTTCGACGTAGGAGCCATGGGAAAGATAATAAAACGTGCAAATTGACACGTTAAATCCAGGGTTTACTTGAAACATTTGTCAGCACCAGAAAATAAAGGCACACGGGACACGTGTTGTGAGCCAACTACGGTCTTTGTTGTGAGCCAACTACGTTAAATCGATGCACAAGTGGCGCTCATCACGGAGATTCCAATATTGGAAATTCATTTTGTAACATTTTGGTGAGTCTTCGAATAGCACAAGATGTTAACCCAAACTTGGTTGCACCTTAAGAGCAGATGATTTGATAATGGATTTTGACGAGCCTCTCAACTCGTCGTTTTGCCGTTGAACTTCAGTCGATATCCATCCGCTAGCTGGGGACGAGGAAGCCAACATCCCCGCGTATCCCCGCGCAAAGGTAAAAATATGCATATAAAGTGTACTTCACAGACTGGTGACCGTCCCGTAGGTCGTCTTCAGAGGTCTCACAGACGTCCTTCGAACGTAGGGACCGATAGAGGTATAGTGAAACTGGAGGAATCCTGTCGGTTTATATATGTAAATGAGGAAACGAAGCCCGCTCAAACTTAAGCACAAATGAAACAGGAGCTGATAGAATATTTCGCCTTTCTTCGACGGTACCGAAATTAGCTTCACCATAAATTGTATATTTATTTAAAATAACAAAAACTGATTTGGAATAAATTGACGAAAAATAACATATCGATGATACTCGTTGAAAGATAAATTACCACGTTGTGATCGACAGGGTGTTAACATGAATAGGTACTTTGCTTGCGTATTAATCACCTCACTACTGGAATGTAATCCATGTTATAGCATTGCTACTGACCTGACAAAAACAAAATTAATACTCAGCTTTCAATCGACAGGGCTAATCACGTACGTCAACCTGCAGCTAGCTACTGGTCCCTATATAATAAGGACGGGGACCAGTCTAGTGTTCATTGCAGCAGTACAAGTAATGCGCGTGTAATACAAGGATTGCAACGACGTTGCGCTTGGAGAACAATCTTTTGCTATTTCATATGCATTTGCGAAGACGGAGGACTTGGGTGGAATGAAGCAAGACAATGTCCGACTATTCTTGTATAGTCAAAACAAGCGAGTACATTTCCCTCGAGCAAAGCAGCATCGAGCAACGCTCAAGCCGGGGCGATTGACTGGATTTGTTTCAACCCGGGTTGAAAAATATCAACGCTGGTGTGACCGTGGAGCAGGGTTGTATCAATTCAACCCTGGCTGAGTTGACACTGGATTAGGGTTGTAAATTGCCTGTTTTCAACCCCCTTGTCATTGCCAAGACTTACTTGTCTTGCGTAAAAGGCCTAATTATGTTTCAAAGCCTCAAGCGTTAAAGCAAATGGTGTCCGGAAAAGGAATGTTCTTGTAAGTCAGCCAATTAAGACTGGCATCTGTTGATAAAAGATAGCCGAGCCAACTTCCTCTGCAGACATAACAATGTTCTGGATATTTCTATAAAGGGCATAACCATGGTTCGACCATTAGGCACCACGGAGGTAGAAACAGATTCTACATCCGTGTTGGGCACAGTACTAGGGAGGAAAATGGTTGTGGATAGAGTGGTTGGATCAAATATTTTCAAAAAGGAAGACTTTTAAGTTGATTTTTTTTTCACAGGACTTGCAACAAACCAAACACAGGCTGGGTAGTCTTCAGCGGTTAGATTAACGTCTACACACTAGAATTTCGCCCTTGGATAATTAAATGAAACAATACCCGCTCATGATGTAGAATGTGCTCTTAGCTTCGCACACAACCCATTTTTCTGCCACTTCTTGTGTCTTCAATCAGTGAATGCATCAACAATAATCACCTCAACTACCCTGATTGGCGAGAGTGGGCCTTTAGAACTGACCTAGGAAAGGGGAGATTGGCCACCCCCACACTGCGGCGTGTCTGCGCATTCAGCAAAATAACAGGAACACTTCCTGAAAGCGAACTGTAGCAAATATCCGCCAGGCATAATCTAGACAATCCTTTCAGTATAAATGCATGTACATTGTACATGTATTACATTACTATCATAGTAGCATTTTCTGAAGCATGCTAATAGGACACAGTATTCCTGATACCATGGTTGGATTCTTTTGAAATAAAAGACTCAAAAGTAGTAACCGCGCGTAAACCTTTCTTCTTCATGAATCTTTCTTCTTTATTGTATGGCAGAAAACGGTACATTTTTACCCAAATACATGGGGATGCGAACAAGTCAACTAGGGTTTTTCAATATTTGTCCAAAGTAAGTACCTTCTCATAATCCAGCAAATGGATGCACTATGGACAGTTAAAAAAAATTAACTTAAAAACAAAACTTTCAAGCCTCAAATACAAACCTTTGTATTGTACATGTAATTCTTTTAAGAGGCTCAGTCACAAGTAAGGTTATTGGTTAACAATACATGAAAGAGCTTCACATGAGAATGATCCTGATTCTGTTGGATCAATAGGAGTTCATTGACATTCAGAGTCACAGCTGGAAACGTAAAAAGGGTGTATTAAGAAAGGGGAGTATTTAATTAGGTGAAAAGTAATTTAAAGATGACTGATCCATTGTCACCGTGAGTTCGAGCATAAAAGATTAATTGACCAAATTTAAAGCCATTTCTTTTCGACCAAAAAGTATTTGGTCTCATTACATCACTCGCTTTACTTTATTTTCTGAAGGCCTAAAATTTATCTTACACGACTTACGGGAAGTTCTTTCCTCGGAGAAAAACAGTAAATTGAATGAACAGTAAATTGAGCAGCGGATGAATCGAAATTCTAACGAGTCACTAATTCTTGTACCTCGAGTCGATTTGAGTCAAATATTTGAACACAATAAGGTACGTAGAAACAAGAGAAAAACCATTTTGGGTGCATTTTTACATTTCACCTTTGGCTTACTGCATGTGGCCGTACCACATCTGACTCTCGATATAACACAACATAAATTTTTACCAACCATTAAAGTAATTAAGTTGCCAATATACTGTTTTCACAAAACAAAGTTTGCTTTTATAGTTAGAACTCGAACCTTATTTACTTTCACGCGAGTCGGGTCGTCTGATGAGAGAGTCCAGGTAAGTAATTTGCTCGCAGTGACTTGAGTCAGGTCATTTACTTGTCAAGGTTTGAGTCAGGTCGAGTCGCCAAAAAATGCAACTCGAGTCAGTCATCGACTTGAGTAGCAAGTCAGCTGTGATTAAAGCTAATGTTGGCAACAGATAAGAAAAAATCACTGTTGTCCATCTGATATGGTTAGTAAACAGCAGGTCCAGGACGAGAGAAGGGGGCAAGTCAACGTACAACGTAGGGCACCTGCACAAAGCCTATCCTGCCTACTGAATCGAGAACCAAATCACGGGGAGATCGATGTTTACAGCCACGTTGATTACAAAAACATACAGGGCAATTAACTCGTAGGGTAGGAGCAGGGATTCCAGAAGTCCAAGCAAAGTGAGATAGTGTGAATGGAGGAGCAACGGCAATTACTTAAACAGTGCAAACAAGATCACCATCAGAAATTTTATGATAAATACACAGACAGATGGCGAAGCACTTGACCGTTTTGACTTCACGTGAAAGTTCAACGTCAGTATGTGTTTTTTTCTTATAACCACAAAGCATCCACAGAAATCCTAGACCAGGTTTGGTATGTCCAGGCACCGGGATAAAAACGGCAGGCTACTTTTTTTGGGGGGGGGGTTGAATGTACCCAAATAATGCAATCATCAGGCTGTGCCAACCTAAACTGCCTGCACAAAATAGCGTAACCTTATGTCATCAGCCAATACAGCGATATCACAAAAAGTCTGTTCAAGTTTCACGCATTTTTCGACATCCACCCTGCTTCATGGGATTAGGAGGCGAGTTAGCCATGGAATTTATCCACACGGAAGCTGAACCATAGGATTAGGAAGGAAGCGTCGCCCTACAAAACTTTTTGAAAAGACACTGGTCGTCAGACTGAAAGAAAACATGAACGTGTGTGGTCAACGCAGGATGCTTCAGCTTCAGATCCCAATTCTGATAGGTTAGTTTCAGTGCAAGCTCACTAACGTGTCCAGCCATTCTCCTTGACGGAGACAGATTTTCCTGGAAAGCATTTCCCAATTATTTTTCCTAGTAAGCATTAAATTTTTTTTCAAATGATTTTATTCCGGATCCCACGTACTGTAACAATGTAAACAGATACATAATGCAGTGTGAAAGTAAAGACACTTTGTAGATGTTAATTAACGTCGTAACTAAATGTTTGAATGTTCTTGGAAGGTGGCTTTCGTTTCGTGCCCTTTTTTACGTTAGTACTTGGATGACTTTGATCATGTTGGTCTAAGTCATGTTGGTCTTCACACATTATCACCTCCACGATCTTCATAACGAAACAGTAAAATTTACCTAGAGATATGACCGAATAACCAAGAATGTGAATCCGGCATGAGAATTCTGCGCATATCGACCCCACTACCACCCATCATCACCAACAGTACCAGCTGAAATCAGTATGGAGTTACGTAACCTATAACCCCACCAATATTGTTAACATCATAAACAGTGCTTAAGGGCCCAAGCCGCGCTGGGTCGACCAGAGAGGTAATCATGCGTGAATTAATTGGGAAGTGCTGTCACATACCATACCAACGCAACTTCTCCAAGGATAGTTCGAGCTCCATTATTCCAGATACCTCGCTAGGCTTGCTGGACTCTTGGACATACTGTATTTATAGACTCACAAATTTAAGCGTGCACCTCCATGGCTGCAAACAGCAATATCAATTTACTCATGGCAGTCTCGAGTATGACGTCATGTCCCGTAGTCTGCAGTGTATGCACCCCTCGAACTCTAGGACTTGTCGTCATCCGCGCTCTCGAACCATGGAGGTGTTTTCCTACCTCCTTATGCTCGAACGAACCCAGGAGTTTAGGGGTATAGTGTACATGGTGTAATGCGACATTCAGCAAAGACACCAACGACATAAAAAATCAAATCAGCTATTTTTTACTTCAATTATCTTTCAATCATGTCAATGTGAAACCAAACTCGCAAAACTATTCAAAAACCTCGCCACTGTACTACATCATGTACCGAGTTTAACTACCTGTGTGGATTTTACTTACCACGTTGTGATCAATCACCTTTTCAAAAAAGTTCCGCTGAACTCAACCATGCACCGGGTTGCACACACATACACACACGATGCGCCGGCCGATTTGCCGTTTCTGTTTATCCCCTGAAAGTTTACAACAGGAGCAAAAAGCCACCACCTTCTGCAACACAGAACTTTGCACTTGGTACTGTCACAAAACAGTCCCCGCGAATGAGGTTGAAGTGCTGCGCTCGGGAGAGTGCAAGAGTCGTACTCGAGTGAGCTGGCTCACTCTCAGCTCGCCTGACCGACTTAGATTTAGAAAGTCTTGTCACTGCGAGCAGGTAGCTGTTCACGAGCATACACCGACACAGTGTTAGATCTGGGGTGGCACCTATCTAGACTAACTGTGGGTCAGTTGATATTTGCCTTTAAAACTTTGACTCAAAGCTAAGAAGCTCGAAGGCCGCGACTCGGGTCTGCTGATTATGCCGCTCGGTTCATCACCGGGGCTCCAAACATCACGTTCGTAGAAGGCCCCGGACCAATCACAACGTGGGGCGCCACACCTCGTGTCGTGTTTCATGGCCCTGAAGTCATTACAGAAAAGGGGGTCCCTCGCTGACACCACCAGATTGTTCAGATTTGGAGATAATAAAAGGGGCTGCACATAAGCATTCCATCGAAATCTCCCGGACTGGGACAGATCATGGACAGATGGAGGCTCGCTGCAGGAATGGCATTGTCTGACACGGCAGTCTTGGACTCATACAAATTATTACGCTTGTGTATGATCCAAGTTTCTTCTTTGGACCCTAATTCCTCTTCTCCAACATCATGGAGGAAGGTAACAGGTCCTTACTAATTCTAACAGTCTCCAATCTTCCAGTTGTCTCAAAACTTAACTTTTGATACAAAAGTACCCTTGAAAAGAGGAAAGATTTAATCATGACGATGGAGACATAGCATGTGAAAAACCAACTGAGTGGTCAAAATCTAACTGAAAGATGATTCAGTTTTGTATTCTGTGTAACAAGCAGGTATCTTCCTGACTTTCTGTTTAGATCGTGTTGTGCAAGGCCTCAACCTTGCCCAATACTCTATACCTGCATAACTAGACCATACTTGTTAGTCTTTGGACCTGATGTGGTTTGTGCTATTACGCTACGGGTTAACACTGGCAGGATTGTGGCTAGCGGCATTCGGTTATCCCCACCCCTTTCATGCTTTTTATTCCACGAAGGATGTTTTCTTCCACGGAAGATGATGCCCACACAAGATCAATCATCTTATGACGGCCGAGCTAATGCACAGAGCCTATTGTTGAGGCTCATGTGCATAATGCGCAGGCGGCTGTTGCTTTAAGGTTTGAAGATTTACTGTCCTGTTGCTCACAGTGCTGCAAGGAGACCCCCTTTTATACCTTCTGAATGGTTGTTTACAAACAGAAATGCAACACGCCTATATCTCCACACAGAAAGCTGGTCCATGCACTGATAGCTCATAAAAAGTGGATCGCTAAGCTCTCGGATATTGTGTAAAAAGACTAGTCATTCCGAAGCTGATACAGGGAAGGAGGCAACAGAGGCCATGCCCCCAAGAGTCCTTTTTTTTGGGGGGGGGCTACTTCATTTCCCTTCTTTAAACAAACAAACAAACAAACAAACAAACAAACAAACAAACAAACAAACAAACAAACAAACAAACAACCCAACAAACAAACAAACAACCCCAACAACCCAACAAACAACCACCCCAACAACCCAACAAACAAACAACCAAACGTGTAAAAGCCTTAAGATTCCACTTCCTAGTAAGGCCATAAATGATGCTTGAAAAAGCCCCCCCCCTTTAAAATTTGGTTCTGGATGCATCCTTGCAACTATTTGTATAGTTTCGACATTCTGGGAATTGGTAGTTTTGTAGCAATTTTTCTGTGTTGATATGACTGAGAAACAGTCCCATTCGCCATAACAATTTTTTTCTCTCTCTCTGAAACCAAGAAAAAAAAAGCACGGAAAAGGCCTGCTAATTTCCTAGATGGTAAACCACGCGCGGAACCACATTATATATAAGGAAGATAAAGTTACCTCTTATTGTCAAAATTCTGACATCGGGAGGTACAACTTCCCATACGGCCGGTCCCCTCCCACTGTCCCAGAGTCCGTCGCTCATAAACTGCAGAAAAACAATGATTCCTATAACGGCGCCGCGAATTTGTTATCTCTCTCTCTTTTTTTCCCAAACGTTGAGGTGTATAAACCATGGCTATAATCGTGGTTCTAGAGTAAAACCCTACATTTCAACAAAGGAAGCTTCCACGACGCGTGAAGACTGTTCTCTCAAGAAAAGTAATGAACCATTTTCCTACTGTACAGTGCTGCCAGACCTAAGTGGAAATCGTGGCTAAATACATGGATGGAGGGCGCTGTCGAAGCGGGACGGTTTTTTTTTTTAACGTACCACATATTTGCTATGGGTGCAAATAAAACTGTCTGATTGGGCCAAGTTTACATTAAGTCGTGCATGATTCGAGAGAGAGTTTTGACCCAGAAGCTAGCCGTCAGATGTACATGTACTTGTGTTGTACGCACTGTACTCTACACTCCACATTGCTTGAGCTCAAGTGCAACGTACGCGCACAGAGCCCGAAAGATGACCCGTGATGGCGCGCTTCCAGAAACCTTGGATAAGAAAAATAACCTGCAAAGATTAAAAAATGTGTAATATTTTTCGTTAAGTTACTTCTTGACAATTCCAACACAGAAATGGGGCTTTGGAAAATATTTGCTAGGATATCAATTTATAGGAACTGAAATCACCTGATCTAAAGGAGAAATATCCTGCCAAAAATTGACCCAAAAAATTCACTTCCGAAAATCTAATATGCACGAAGAATTAACAGTGCAATGCGGCAGTCTCGTACGCAGATGAACATTTACAGTTTGAAATTTTGTGGAAGTCTGTAACTAAAAACCGGAATAAAAGCAGAGCAAAATATTTGACAGATTCTAAAACATATATGGTAATAAACTTAAAGCAGTATTGTACTTTTACGAAAAATTCTAACACTTTATTTAACCTTTGCTGACAACAATCGGATGATGGTCAGCTCAACGGAATCTGGAACCCATCGACTGCAGGTAGTCTTTGCATCGTTGTACAATCTCGTTTTCACGGAAGCACGTACGGCGAGTGAAAACGTGCGTACGATATCGTCGGACTGAAAGGTCATTAATGAAATTCATGTTTAACCCATCTCCAGGTGACTTTTCCTTAATATTATTTGAGGAAGACAAAGATAAAATTCCAACACAAGCGTTTCATGGGGTGGTTTGAATAAGGAATTATTCTTCCAAAAATTATCGAACGTGATAGGACAGCCTAATGTAAAATCCCCATGAGACCGCGCGAGGGTTCCGGAATTCCGGAAGCTCGTTGCGTGACCTTTTACTTGCAGGCTCTATTGCACGGTGTTAAGAATTAGTCGCAAGTTTATGCTTGAAGTATGTTAATTTTTGTCTGTGTGATTATTGTACGTGTATATGAATGTCGACTCGAAAATCTAGCTCTGTGCGGAATGACGCTTGCGCAATGAATCACAGAAAGAAGTGCAAACTGTAGCTGCACATCGATCGCCTACAACAGCCCTAAGCCTACTGGTACATGTACATGATGTACATGCATGTACAGGGCAAAAAGAAATGCACACAATTCCCCTAATAACAAGGGACTAAGCAGGGCTCAGTTCTTTTTCCGCTAATTATTAATTTCAAGTGGGCTACGTGTGTGTGTTAAAAATATGAAAATTGTTGGCCTTTGTAGTTTATCTAAAAGTGGACAACCCAAGTTTAAGATGGAACTAAATTTAGCCGTTATGTTGCAATCGACGGAATTTCATTTAATGAACAGGGTGTAACATGAGGGGTATATGGCTGTGATCATTCAATATAAGCACAGAGGAACTTGAAGACATTGTTCAAGACACAGTTAAAAATTCCACAACTTCGACGACAATCAGAAGCTGATCCAGGATTTTCCGGGGAGGGGGGTGGGCTGATTCCAGATATTCGGGGGGGGGGGAGGGGCGTGTGAACGAAAGCAGCAATAGTAAAATCATTTAAGTTTGACTAAAATGCCCGAGAGCCCTTGCGTACGGCATAGGATCCGGGGCATTTTTGGATTCTAGGCCGCTCTGTTGTGCAATTTCAGGCAGTATGACTCTTCTTTTTCTTCTCCACCCCCCTTCTTTTGTTTTTAATTAGTTTATTTATTTATTCATTCATTTGGGGGGTGAAAAGGGGGGGCGTGCCCCCCAAGCCCCCTGGAGTCGCCTAAATTGGGCCTAAATTGCCAGTGTGGGCACAGAAGACTTCATCACTACATGCACGACCTTCACGAAGCCGACAAAGTTCCAGTTCTCGCTGAAGTAAACCCATCCATGCACGTGCGAGCATGTGGCGGTATACATTTACAGAATACATAGTACACGTACACAATCATGCAAGCACACCGTCAACGCGCGAAATAGAGGTGCCGATTTTGTATCTTTTGACCTTTGAACTTCATGTATGACCATTTTGTGCACAACTCTATGGGACCATAGCGAATATGTGGTACGGAAGAAGAAATCGCCCCCAGGCTACGCCCTTGCAATTTTCAAAATTGTTCTATTGTGAACAGTTTTCATTAGATAAATAATAGTGTTGTGGGAATTATAGTAAAATATCTACAGTGACTATGAAAATAAATATCAAAATTTTTTTATTATTCATATGTTAAAGCCTGTTCTAAAAACAGGGAAAACATAAGCTATTATCTGGTAAAAAGTCATTTGTCATGAACACACCGTACATTAAATTAGATTTTATGTCAATGCACTCAGTTTTTTAGTGAAGAGTGTTTATTTAAAAAAAATAAAGCAAAGTGTTTTAATTTCAAAGACCTGTGGATTCAAGGTTGTCAATTCATAAAATAAATTGATGAGAAGTTAGTTTCTGGAGAAAGCTGTTAGGGGTCTTCTTTCAAAGCATTTGAGCTAGCTGAAAAAATGTGATTGATAAATAAATTTTCATGCAAGTTAACCTGCATCTACAAGTGCTTTAAAAATGATAATAAAACACGAGTAAAAAATACTGTACTTGGCGAGTAACTATACACTCTGCAAGTTTTGTCTTAGGTTCAGTTACTTGCAGTAAAATGTCAAAGCAGATATTCAAAAATAATAAACCATTTCAAAATCTGTATTATGCGACTTGCAACAATGATCAATCATGCAACAGTACAAAACAAAATTAATTCAAACATTTAAAAAGGTTGAAACTCAAACAAAAATTTATCATTTTACAACAATTCTAATATATACTAGTACCACTACTTTTTAAAGTTTATAGGTCATATTACTGCATACAAGCTGTTTCAACAAATTGGGACAACTGAATTCTGTTCTTACATATATGGATTCTTACATACCTAGTTATAAAATAAATGCTTCCATGACTCTTCATTTTAATGATTTTTTTCAAAATGTTCACACCATAATGTTGCATTATCTTTGCAAGAAACTTAGTATCTGAACTGTCATATCTGTGATTTTAAAGATTTTCAAAGGATATACAGGTAGTAATTCCCTACTGATGAAACGCGTATATGTAACACAGCTAACAATTTTCATGGACGTTATGTATAAACAGATCTATAACCTGCCATGAATATGAAGAACGAGTACAAACTACCTATACTTGCAAGCTGTTGCCAATTATCTGTATGTACTTTTTGAAAGTGATCTTTCACAAATACGAAAGGTCCAGATAATATGTTGCAAAAACTATTAAACAACACATTGGATGTCTCTTGCATAACAATGGGAAATGTATTTCATAATTCTGGGGTTTTTGATGAAAATGCTGGGTTAAGTTTTATGATCCTGCAATCAAACATGCCTTTGAGTGGAAACTGAATGGAATGATTCAGAAATTATTCAGGTACATGTATTTCAATACTACTATAACACATAAAATGACACACAATGTACAAGAAGCACATTATCTCAGTCTCTGAATTGTGGGATGTCAGCGGCAGCCTGACGCTCATCAGTGCACATCCAGTCAGCCAGGCAGTCGCACATCCAGTCGGTATCTGAAAAAAAAAGACTAAAAGAAGAGTTAGTAACAAGACAACAATTTTAGGGGAATGACAAACAAAACATGCACATACACGAACCTGTCACAAAACATCGTGTTTTTATTTTTTTAATGCGAATGCCTCAACATTTTCACTGTTATCTTTGGCTCTTAGAATATTTATTGCTTTGAAGGCAATGAAATTTTGCGGAAGCAAATGGAAAAGGCTTGGTTACGATGTGAATTATTCTTATGCAATCTCGTGATGTGAAATATAGATTACAAGAGAATGACGTGCGCACGACTTTGTGAATGTAATTTCGCCCTTGACATTGAACATTATAACGGCATATAAATTCGAAAACAATGACTTCCCACTGGAATTGGTGGAAGTTTAAGAAATGCTTTTCTTACAATGGAAGAACAAATCGTTGGCGTGCGATTTTTTTTCTGGGTTTGATTTGGCGCATCTTACTGTATTAGTAATGACGGCAAGTTTCTGACTTTCTGATTCCCCCGAATCCCTAAAAGCCGTAGCACATTCTCAGAGTGAACATATCTGTTATCTGTAACACGTTTTGGGAAAGGTGATAGATTTTCTCACCTGCACCGATTCTCTATCTATACACACATCCACGAGCCTTGAACATCACGACCAGCAGCACGCAGGTTCAAATCACGACTGCTGAGCCTCCTGTTGTTTTGTTTTAATGGTACTTTCAGCTACTCGGGCTATTTGCACCATATCTATACGTTTATTCATATCAGTATCATATTACGGAGTTAGGAAGAAGGTCCAGTTTTCGAGGCAGGAGGAAACTGGAGTACCCGGGGAAAACCTACGAGAGCAAGTATGGACTGGAAACCAAATGCACTAAGCTTGGTTAGCCTGCATTACGAGGTGCGCAGTTTTAACACAATGCACGGCAGGCCTGTGCACGACCACCTGTTCAGCGTATTCATGCAGATACTTTAAATTTCGCGCATTGTGCCGTTTGATACATGTAGACAGTTTACTTTTGACTGCAAGTTAGGCCTGTATACGAGAGATACGATGCCCCGGAGTTAGCCTACTACCTTCTCGATCGCCCGTGGGGGGGAGGTTCTGATAGGAATTTGTCCAGAGCAAATTTTCTCCCATAACAATGCTGTTGCATTTTTTTCTTATCCCGGAACATGGAAAGTTGTTACGAAGGGAAGCCTTTTTTTTCGACATTTGCTAGACAGAGGTACATTTATAGTTGAGCATTTAAAGAAATAGTCATTCGATATTCGTATGTACATGTATACGCCCTATATATGATAGAGTAAGGAAGACGCAGGTGACGTGACTGCAGCCTTCCTGGAATAAAACAGCGAAAAGTGCGGTTTCAGTATCATGATTTGTTCTGAATTTGGTGCTGTGATGAAATATGGTGTAATTGAAAGCGCCAGTATCTCACGAATGGTGTTACTGACTTTCTGTAGGGGAGGGAGGATAAGCAATTTTTACAGATTAAAAAGTGTACTCTTTTCTTAATAACCCCCCGGCCCTGGACGCACTGGGATACGCAGTACGGGTTTGTTGCTAAAAGTGCAGAAGATCTTATCAACGTTAATCTCCCAGATGTTAAAAAGACGGCTTCACCCCCAGCAGATAATAGGACCTAATATCGTTCACATCCAAGCTTCTGTTCAAAGCTTCTGCACGCGTTACATTCTGCAAAGCATCTAAGAATTTAGATCCCTGGCCATGCAAACTCCCAGCTCAGATAATACCAGTGTCCCCTATCGTGGCGATTTGCTTTCGGTTTTTAGGCTAGTAATTTCATTTTTATGAAAATACTGCATGAAACTAAACAGCATCGGAGGACAGTATAAAATTGAAATGAAAATGTTAAAGTTCCTTTTTTTCATTCAACAGGCTCCGCAGTAAATGTAAAATGACGCAGCGACAAACAAGACCGACTAACGACTTGATTTCAAGTCTAAAAAGCACCAGGGGTGTTTTGTCCTTATGAGTCCGGTAGAGGGCGCTATTTAAGATTGGACCTTGGCGCGGCGGAGCGGGACAGTACCATTTATGTCTGTGGACAGTACCGGCAAGTCTCCAGTGGGAAAACGCTAAGTTTATTAATCGCGGTCCCATCCCAGTCGTGTTCCCAGAACACACATTTATTGCGTGCATGCGCCGTGAATTCTGCATCGCGTATCGATCTGTGACAACTTTCAAGCGTCGTTCTCGGACACCTTCTCAGTTTTTGCACTTTTCCCCTCCGTTACAGAGCTTCAATTCCTCATAAGCGCTTTAGATCACAATGGCTACAGCAACTGGCATTTTTCTGCTGTCTCTGACTGCGATTCCCGTGAGTTACACGCTGAACACGGTGCAGACATTCTCCCAAGACCACCGGGCGGTGTTTGCCGTAGCCTGCCTGGTTATACCGCTAGTTGTGTTCCTGGCGTATCTCATCAGCCGCAGGGCAAAGCCCAGAGATTGGTTCTTCTATGGTGGGTATCTGTTCCTTGCTCTGTGGTAGGGGTGCAGACCACTAATTCAAGTGAGAATTTCTGGCCAGCTCATTAGCATTAAAAGTGCCCCCACAGTATTTTTTTTTAAAAGAGATTGTTTGACCCCCAAAATGGTGAGATTGTGTAAATTGCTGCCAGGATGAACTCCCTGGGTCTTTGAGCTTTCATATGAGAGCAGAATGGCTAAAAACTACCATTAAAAAAATGGTCCTAAGCACCTGAGAAAGTTGAGGGTTGATCTTGACACTTGAAAAATGGCTGCAATTAGACTTGGGAAAAATCACTTTCTTTTTGGGGTGTGGTTTTGTTTTGTGGGAATAATTAAAAATTTAATTGGTTAACCCACAAAAAATTTAAAAGAAATTGAAAGATTAGGGACTAGACAATAATTTTATTCGTGTTTCTGAAATCTCAGGGATGTTGGCGTGCATGTTATTCGGTCCTGTACGGTGCTGATTTTGCACTGTTTTCAGTGGGGCTTGAATTAGTGGACTGTACCCGTAGAGTATTTTTTGTGTATGAAATTGATTAGTTAGGTGAAATAAATGGTGTTTGTTGACAACGTATTGCAGAATACCACCTGAATACCCCACCTCTCCAAATTTCTCTCTTTAATTAATTTGAAATGAAACATCTTTCCGGCTTTGGAGTCCAAATATTGAAATACAGTTTCTCAAAGCCCACACAGTCAATACATCGGGAAGTATCGTGTGATACATGGCATATTTTTCGAAAAATTGACCAAAATGCAAATCCATGTCATTTTTCAAATTCTAAAAGACTAACTTTGGTAATAGAAAACTCAACATAGGCCCTCGCACCTTCAGATTTGTAAACTTTTTTGGAAAATATTATGTGGGGATGGTTAGGTAGACTGTGTACATTTGGTGGACTGTTGGCTGGCTACATGTACTACCAGTGCAAATCGAACGGAGTTGAACTCGTTTACATTTTAAGTCTGAACGTTTATGCCAGATGACTTGATTTCAGAACTTCCCTCAACAGCAAAGAAAATTCAGTACATTTTTCAACAGATGCATTTAAAGCCCCACAGAAAAAGAATACCAGTATATGTACCAGATCTCATACCTTTCACCCACCAAAAATAATATTTAAGTTTGGCTATATATAGATACATGTATATAATGAGTACAACATGTTCATTGTGAATGTCATATTTGATGGAATGTTGACGTTACTGCACTGTGTCTAGTGCATTATGTTTGTTTGAATATTTGTTTTTGTTGTGACCTGGGAAATCAGGTGAGAAAGTGTAATTTTTTCCTAGAAAGTTACATTTTCTTACCTTGAAAAATTCCCCTCCCGAAAAAGGGGGTAGGGTCTATACCTATTGAAGAGAACTTGTGAGGGGGTACTGGTTTGTACTAACAAGCCTGAATGAAAAAGGAAGGGATATCCTGTTATGAACAAATTATACCAACAAAAGTTTATTCAACACAAACAGCACACTTAATAGTACAGACTTAATTAAAGTCCATTTCGGACTTCTATTTAAAGGCCTAGGGATGGTCAAGGCATACTCTACATGCGGTTTGAAACCAACATAATGCTATGGAGTTCTAAAAATCCCTGGTGAGTGACGTCTATCAAGAAATAATTGTCAAGGACCATAACTTTTGTGTTTTTGTCACATATTGCTCCAAAAGTGTAGCCCTTAGTGGTGCAACATGCATGTACATGTAATGTACTCAGGAAGGGTGATTGCTACAGTTGGAACCTGATCAATAGCCTCATATTCTGGAGAAATCAAGTTTTTGACTCACCAAGTTGAAGTTTCACAAAATGTAAATCTACTTTTATTTGGTCAGTGGTGGATCCAGTGTGGTTATCAATTTTTTTGTTTTTTTCAGAGCAATAAAGAAATAACATATACACCCACTCCTGGCTCTGAGATATATGTAGCGTACATCCCAGTCCCCAGTGGCACAACCATCTAAATAGCATAGAAGGACACTGTCTACATGTAGAGTACGCATGGTCACATGTGGAAAGCTTTCTTTCATATTGAAATGGTCGGTCATCCTGTAAAAAAAGCAAAGAAGAACAAAAAAGACTGAGTAACATGCCTCGGGGAAAACAGGATGCCTTAACTCCCAGATCTGCCTTGAAGTATTGGAGACAGTATTTTGGAGTTGAAATGAGGCATTAGAAGAACGAGTACATGTACAATGTAGATGGGAAATGGGTGGTACTACTGAATGGTCATGTGAACAGGGTAAACAAAACACTATTGAATTATTTGATACGATAACTTGTGCATCAACTGACATTAAATACTGAAAAACATGAGCAGGGGTATGTATTTTTGTGGGCAAATAATATGTGCTTGCCTAACAAAATCATCTTTTTGGTAGAGCATTTTCCCAAATTGTTTGACATGTTAGTGTGTCCAGTCGAAGCAAAGAAACTCCGTACATATCTCATGATTGTACATGAGGCATGTATATTCTTCTCATTCAGTTTGAAGTAAATCAAAGTTTGAACTGACAACTATGTAAAAAAATTGGCTTTTTTATTGCTTGGTATTAAGTCTCAAGTAAGTGTGGCATACATGTTTTTGTTGATCACCCCAGCCCACTAACAATACCACTGCAGCAAAGACATGTAAGTACACAAGTTTTGGTAAGCAGACCTTAATTTGAGGAGGGCGCTCCTATTTCTTTTACATTCAAGCTAACAAATTGCCTTCATTTTTATACAAGTTCAGCAACGGTATTGAAATATCACCTTTTATGCATCTACTGGTGTGTTTTTGTATACCGCCTCTCACCAGAAAGGTGCTTATGGAGCATATTACGAATGAAAAAAAAAGCCCCATTAACTTGCCCCGTGAGGAGCTGATGTCTAGCTTGGTGTTAATGGGGTTGTCAATTCTTCCCACAGTGTTTTCATTGTTTGCATGGACTAGTGTGATCGATATCATACTCGCCCTGTCTGCTGATGGAATCATCGCCAACTTCATTGACTTCTACCTAAAGGAGGTAAAGTAACGAAAGAAATGGAAAACCCTAAAGGTTTCAATAATTTGGTTGTAATGAGTGAAGTGTAAATCAGTGGTGTTAAATATGGTTTGAAAGAAAATATGGTTTGAGAAAAATGTGTCCATTTCAAAGGTCCAGCCAGACAGAGGCTGTATGATCTACCTGTGGCAGATGGTAAAGACAGGGTTTCCATCATCATGGAAAATCCTGGCAAAAGTCATAGGATTTCATTTTAGTTCCAAGACCTGGAAAAGCCATGGAAATTTGGAAAATTACAAAGGCCAATTTATTTTCAGTTTTAGACTCAGAATATTGATAAATTTAAAAAGATGAGGGTGCATCCTGAGCAAGGGTAGGTCTAGTGAAAGCCTAACCTGCTATGCTGCTCACCCCTGGCCACCTCCCCCCCCCAAAAAAAAGAGAAAGACACAAGAAGCCTTAAAAGCTTTCTTTTTTGAAAAATGATAAACAAAAGGCAAAATTTTGGTCAATATAAATTCCCTTCAAAAAGCATGTAAAAAGCCCAGAAATGTAGCCTCACCCTGCAGACAGGACCACAACAGTTATGTGAAATTTTTTTGAAATGTTGGGCCCCCGAAAACATGTTGAATATGAAAATTTGGCTCTTCAGTTCATGTAGATCTGTGTTTGACCCCGAGCTGCACAAGAATCTACAGATGTGAAAAATCATTAGCTTACAAGCTAGTAAAAGAAAATTTGTTTTGCATGCCCCGATTGGGTTTAGCTAATAGTAATTGAGTAGTGCTTTTGTTTGAGATCTCCAGGCTTTGATGTGATGTTAACATCTGCCACAAAGAACAAGAATCAGAGGTTGATGCTTGGACTTTTGTGATTGTGTTTTTTTCAGCTACTGGCAGAATTTGCAGCTATGTTGCGCATATATGCTGTAATTCAAACCAAAACTAATAACAACTGCATTACTCAAACTGGAGATTCATTTTGCTCCAAGATCTGACTCGCTTTTGATACATTTGATATTATTCCCTTTATCAAGATTTTTGATATTTAGATATTAAAAGTTTGATGTCGGCGATATCAGTGTCAAAATTATATCGGAATAATCAAGTTATATTGATACAGTGTTGGACCCTAGATTATGTTGTGTGTACTAAAAATGTCATCCATTGTAATCATTACAAATCGGGCACAGCCAAACCTAATTCCTTTGCTGTTCATTGTGTCAATTTTGAAGTGTATTTACATTATATTTGATGGATTTTGCACAGCTATTCTTTCATTTTTCCTGAGTTCTATTTCCTTCAGGGTAGGCACTTTAAATCACCTTAATTTGAAATCACTCACTGTATATTAAATATTCTATTTATGACAAGGGAGTTGGCTCACAGACAAACCTGTTGTGACAAGACTACTTTTTGCACACATTAGAGTAAGGTAAAATACCAGCATTTTGCACACGTCCACATAAATCATGAACATATGGTACATGTACCTGTATTTATTTTACATTTTTCCACTCACTGGTTATCAGGTTTGAGTTCCTTATAGGCAAACTCCTGTGGTCTGTGTTAAAATCTAGAGTCCAGTTTCAAACCTGGTACTTTACCCTTGATACATGTACATGTATCTATGCACATGTACGGTATCTCTGAAGGAACTGTCTTCTGTGTGGGTACAAGAAGGTGCCTACAGCATGCATTTCACCTTGACTTAGCCCCTATTTTAATGTGGTTTGGGATTTTAATCAAATTATGGTACTTGCTTGAAATTTCCTAATTTAAAGACAAATTTGTTTAATTTTGGAACAAAAGAATTAAATAGAGGAAAATTAACGGGCATGCAGAGAAATTTGCTTGCTTTCAAATTACTCCAACTGTCCTATTCGAATCCAACAATTTGCTTTAAGTAAAAAAAGTGAGGACATCTGATATTAATTTTGTTTTAATCAAAAACTTTGCAAACCCTGATATCCTTCATGTAAAAAACCACCAAAAAACATGTAAGTTCAGACATGCAGTAACTGGAGTTTTATTTTTGTGGATTTCACAGTTTTTTTCATAGTGCTGTTATAATACATGTACCTATAAATGTGTTGTGTTTTTACATATTGCTGATAAATGAAGTACTTCATCTCATGATAATTATTGCACAATTTACAATCCTTATTTGGATCAGAGTCACCTTCCCCCTTTGAAGAACTTGGATAGCATTTTTTGTCAAAGCGCTGACATACTGTCTACTACATGTATATAGCATTATTTGTTGTTCATTCCAACAGCTGTGTAAGGTGTCCAGATTTCATGAATAGTTTCAAAATTGTCCAGCAAAGGACTTTTGTCCACCTGATACCAGTCCCTTTATCAGATCTGTAACCTATTACCATTGTTTGTTTGTGCAATCAGGGGTTGTTCCCTGGCATTAATAATTAACTGCACAAAGCATTGCTCAGCCAGTGTATGGTCAGAACTCCACTGCAGGCACTGGTGGTTTGATGGAAATAGGCATAGGTCTGAAGAGCAGAAAAATATGTAAAACAAACTCTGAGTAGCTCCAGGCACTTTTAACTTAAAAAATTCTCCCCAAAAGAAAAAACTACAGACGTGTTTTAAATTACACTTAATTCTTGCAGGGAGAGGGTTTGATTGGTAGTTTAATACAGTAAGTCTGTTCGTCTTTACTTCTGTGACTTCCTCCCTAATTTTGGAATAGCAATTAGCATGTAGATTGATATTGATCATGGCTGACAGCGCCAAAGTTTGTTGCATTTGTTGTTGGCTGCTGATTGCTCCCACGAAGGGTTCATTTCAAAGTCATTGGGTTTATCCGTTCATATTCAGTAAAAGAGTAGGACATAATCTTGGAATGTCTACAATATAATGCTGGTTTGTATAAAAAGTCAATCTTCCACTAGCCAATTCAATCCTGCACCACAATAATCCATGGTTTATCTAACCCCAGGATTTAAGCACGGTTATGTCACACATGATCCAGTCAGTGCAAGCTCCAGTCTGGAGTTGCACTCAGCACAAAATTGACACGTTGAATTTGAGCCGGCCTCCATTTTCCATTAAGGTAGTTTTATCATACCTTCAACAGTTAATATAGAACACAAGAACCCATTTAAGGGATGCCTTCAAGCAAACACAGACATATACCATGGACCCCTGTACTACAGTGGTCAGGGTCCTCAAAATCTGTTGATTATTTAAAGGAGATTTCACCCTCCTCCAATCTTACAATTGCACAGAAATTAATGGGTTCATCTTCATGAACCTTGCGTCTGGACAAGAATTGTTGCCAACTCACTTAGACTACAGGTGTATTAATTTTTTAAGATTCTGTTTATAATCTCTTGGCTGGTGTCTGTGTACTTGCAGGGTGAGCCCTACCTGAACACAGCTTATGGCATGATGATCAACTATTGGGATGGTACCGGTCATTACTTCATGTACATCATGATGATAACTGCTATAGCCTGGAAGTAAGTTCATGAACAAGGGTAAATGTGATTGATTAAACCCAGCCTCATGCTGTAGGAATGCTGAGTACTCGTCTTGGGTCCAAGACGAGTACTCATACATAGAAGATATGCATGTTGTGTATGCAATTATTGTGGCATATGATTTAGGTGATTGATTGCAACAGCGCCCTCTTTTTATGGGTACCAGCTGGTCCGCGCTAGTGATTCGTCTAGTAATTGTTCATGTCACGGATAGTGATTCGTTGTGTGATGGTTTGTGTTGCTGAATAAACTACAGGAAGGTTTTGGAACCAAGACGAGGTGAGTACCTGTATGTCATTTTCTTCTGATCTTCAGGGCCGTTTTCCAGTACTCAACTTCGTCTCCGCCTCAGGCTTCGTTCCCAAAACCCATCCCCAATTGTGGGCCTGAAGCGTTTAAATCAAATTGGATTACTGTAGGTTTTGGCTCTCTTGCATCTTATTTGATGTTTTGTGGCACTATTAGACTAATTACTACATTTACACCTTCAAAGTCAGCTAGTTAAAAAACAGTTGAAGCGTGAGACGAAGCCGAAGTTGAGTATTGGAAACGGCCTGGGTTACAACTTCAGTTCATTTCTTGGTGCTCAATTGACCGGTGTGCGCATTTTCAGCAGTTGTTTGCCTCAGTGGAACATTGTAATTGTGCATACATTTCCTGAAGCAAAACCTGTCATTAGATACAAAGACCATTCCTACGTGAACATGTATGTCTGTAGTGTGTTAGTAAAGATCTTTAGGCTCACAAGTTACATGTATGAACATTTTCATGCTATTCTTTTATCATTACAGCTTACGTGTCATTGCTTTGTATTCCACAGCTTAAGTTGATCTTGAAAGTTAAACTTGCCATTACTGCACATGTAGATTCAGATGTTCTTTGTTAATTAGAAATACATACGTTTAAGTATATATAATTGTTTCATTTCCTCCTTATCAACTTGAATCGATCACCATGGAAATAGGAAATGGTTAAAGATTGAAGTAAGATTTTGTACATTGCATTTTCAGCAGAACTTTTAATAATTCTACATAGAGAAAAATTTTATCACATCAAAGTAACAAAGAATCACTAGTTAATGAAAGCACTAAACTGTATTCTGTAGATAGTGTTGATGTGACACTTTAATTATTCATTACTACATGTAGAATTCGTTGATAATGATTGGAAATCTGTAAATGATGACCCAATAACGGACATTGTGATGGTCTGTATGCGTACCTTCACTCCCCTGTGGAAGCCGTCCAGCTCCAGTCCCAGAACAATGCACATCACGCGCCGTCTTGTGATGGGGCGTGTAAAGTTGCTGTGCCATGCTACACACTGTATTTACTATTTCTTATGGATTTTCTTGTATGTAAATGTTCTGATCAAATATTTTGTTCTTTGTTCTTAGTAAAAACAAGCTACATGTACATGTAACTAGTATAAATAGGTGACCTTGGATGAGTTGGACCTCTGTCTAGAATAAATCAGTAACACCGTGTGATCATCCCTTTAATTTACGTTTACTTTGCATCAGACCGTGGAGGTTCCTACCTCCATCATCTGACAGACGAATCCACCACAGTATTACAGATATTGTCATCTTGAAAAAGAGAATGGATCATGAATTGTAGATAAGTGCAGTGAATGTACCAGCCAGCAAGTACACATATCATTAACATTGAACTTACAGTGTCCGGTACCTGTAAGATTCTTATAATCTACACTGATGTTGATCAAGGGATTATTCCAATGAGCTGCGGTGGCCAGTCATCCATGTTATTAAAAGAGTAATGAACATTTATAGCTCATTATGCTATACTTTGCAAGTGATCTTCAATGCATTCTGTGGTTGGTCAGGGTTCAGAAGAAAAAATTTATGTGTCTTGACTGAAAAATCATTTGAGTCATACCTGGATGAAATTTCTACTTCATATGGGTATATTTTGTGTTGCACGGCAACAAACCATCAGGTCATGTGTTTTTGACAGAAGTGCATTGTAATAAAGCTGTCAATTAAATCTCTGGAAATAATCAGCAGTTGATCAAAACTACAGCAGTTATGGCATGCAGTGCCTAATCCAGCCAATATTATGGCACTGACAATCACCTAATTTCCTTGCTTTCAACATTCTTATGATATTCTAAGCAGCACTACAACGAGAAAGATCAGATTCAAAGGCAGAATTTGTGAAAATGGTGAAGAAACAGCTGCAAATAGGGGGTGTTGATAGTTGTCAATCCAGCATAATCCTTCATAACCTATTGGTGCAAGTTGGAAAATCTTGGAGGTTAAACTAGTATAACTTTTGTATTTCAAAAAGATTCAAGAGTAAATGTTCCATGGCTCGAGCTTGTGATAAAGGCATTGATTAATTTGAACTTTTCTGTGAGCACCCTTGTGAATCATTTGAAAGAGGAAGTGAAACATTGATGTGATTGTTCTTTTTTTTTGACAACAGTGAAAATTATCGTGAGGTTGGTCTCTACTGGGTGGGGTCCATCATGAATAGCATTATTGTCTTCATGCCAGGTAACATCTTGGGCAAGTTTGGTTCTGAGGTCAGATCGTCGTACTTCCTGAATATACCCTATGTCTTCCTACCAGTGTATGCTGGGTACCGGTTTCTACATGAGAGAAAACCAACAAAGGTAGAATTTAAGCTGTTATTTTCCTCCAAGAATCTTTGACAGTTGCAGTATAATTAGATACTGTACCATGCCTTTAATGGCTTACAATAATGATTATAATTAACACTTTGTAGTCATCATTTGACCATAGAGGAAGGACACAGAAGGAGTTTGAACTGCCCGGGCTGTAACATTTGGCCAATAACCACTTTCTGGCATGCCTGGTATGTCCATAGCCAGAGCGCGGCGAATGCTTGCTATGCTCCATCCGTTTCACAACCACGAAACCCCTTTGTACCCTATGATTGCCGCCGCAATTTATCGATGGCAATCTGCATCCTTAAAACTTTGTGTACTTAGGTATAGGAAATTGAATATTCATACATTTGTTGGTGCTTGGTGTGATCTGCTGACAAAATCAAATTTAATGCTTCAGCAGTTACTTGCATTATGCTGTGTGCCCTAAATCTATATGTGCAGTCATTGCCCTTAATGAGCTCTTTCTTCTGGACTTGTTATGGGAATAAATATCCCGGTTGTTTACAAGGTTTTGTGGTTTGTTTGAATCATTAATATTATGGAATTTGTACAACAGCGTATTTTATGCGATTTCATGATCACTCCCTGTGATGAAATAGCGCATTTTGTTCCTCATGAACAAAGCTTTCCAGTTGTAGTGAACATTTTGTTGGCCAGTCTTAGACAAATTCATACCTAGTCTTTGAACACTGATGTATTGGACGGAGGAGAATAAAATTACAAACTTTGCATGGATAATGGAACAGTATGTTCAAATTTAAAAAGTTTATTTATGATGGCTAAAGTAGGTCTAATATCAGGGATTTTTCTCTCTCGATTTCCTGGTCAACGCGATAATTTGTGTTTAATTGCAAGCAAAAAACTACATGTACAAGTATTGCTAGGATATTAATCAGGCATGTTGGAATGTTTTCTATTATTCATCTGACTCGGCGGCGACCATCATTGAACACTTTTGAAGTACCTGAGTTGCAACTCCTTCTGTGTCCTTTCTCTGTAATTAGACTGCTCTTGATCTCAAAAATACTTATTTAACTCCTGGCAGGGGCTGAAAATTTGTGACTAAGTGTCATGTCTGTTTACTTTGTTTGGGTAATTCATTGAAAATGTTTAGAGAGTTGTATTTAAAAGCACTGTCTTAAGTTTTCAAGAAAACATTGGCATCCTAAAAGTACTGGTAGTTACCAACTTATGGCCCACGACAGAACCTTGATCATTATTTTCCTTTCAGTGTACGTGTGAAGTTTGCTTCATTGACAATTTCCACCTCCACAGGGGTCTGTCAAACCAAGCAGTATCTTATCTCGACCTGTGGATCTTGTCTTTGTAGTCTACCTCATCGGGGCAACTTTATTAGCCTTCGTCCGCTTCTTGGTAAGTGCCTCTACACACAGGACACTTTCCAAGTAACTACTTCATGCCAGATGATACAAAGACACGTGGCCATTTCTGTGTCTGTAACATGGAGGACGTAGAATCATGTTCTCTGGCAAATTTTGTTTGCGGTAGTGGGGGACATCTGCACTCGTCTCCCCGCAATTGAGTGATTCCCACTGACTTTGTGAAATTCACAGAAGCATAGACTAGTCCATGGTGACTGAGTATGTGGGGGCCTTCAAGCTCCTGTATTCCGTGGCTGGGCATTGTAACAAATTGCTCCAACTTGTTTCCAATGATGCAGTAAAAAATGTCAAAAATGTCAAAAATCTTGACCAATGACCATGACCACTGAGGGTCAGCATTTGTAAAGACCAATGTTATAAATGACTGTTGTGATGTCTTATCGTTTAAAAAGTCAGTATTTCAGCAGAAAAATAATACCGCATCTAGGACAAGTTTTCTTTGGTATAAATACTGTCCTGAAGTGGTGAACAGTTGACTACTCAGCAAACCTTTTGCAAGTTTAATTTGAATAAAATTTGGTTAACTGAGTTACGTGATTGCACATAAACAACAATTCGAATTCTCCAGACTAAAGACACTGTTGCTAAACCTTGTTTTTCGGGGCAAGCTTTTGCATAGTGACCACCATCTCTGGAATGGACTGGTACCTTTGTGCCCTTCTTATCCGTTGAAAACAGTGCATTGATGCAAGGTGTCTCTTATGTAACCATGCACAAACTTTAAAAGAAGTTCTCTACATGTATATTCATTTTAAATAAATACCAAGTGTATATGAAAGGATAAAAAACATACCCAGTGCTCCCTTGCAATCAGCGTGGTATATACATGTACATGTATATGAGTTACAAGAGTTGTAGAAAAGCTGTGCTTTCTGCTGAGCATGAACTGCTGACTGTTGCCTGTTGAGTCAAGACGACAAAAAAGGGCAGACTGTCCGAAGACGGCTCATCAATATTCACAAGTCTCTACATGTACATACAGGATTTCTTCTGTCCTCAAGTATTAGATCCTGTCAAGATGTGAACATACCCACCATCTTTTTCTTAGTTTTCCTGTTTCAAATTTGTCTGCTGGCAAAAAAAACCCAGTTAAGCCAGGCTCCATTTGAATCGTCCATTTAAACTAAAAATTGAACAAAATGTTGAAAGCTCATCGTTTGAGTTTGGATTTTTTAATTTCATATTTGGTATGTGTTTACATTGTGTCTCAGGCTGCGTTAGATAGCCCCTTCCCCTTTGCACAGATGTACCTGAAGGATTACGAGCCCTACCTACACGATCCAGTGTCCTACCCCAAACTACAGGTAAAGAGAAAAGATCACTTGAAACACATACAGTGGTTGTAGGGACATTATACACCTGTCTTTTCACCTATTTTGTGAGGGCCAGAAACGCTACTTGGACAGTTTTTTGTCCCCACAACTTGATCCTGAATTTCCTAACAAAATTTTCTCCTTAACCGGGGGAAGGCCTACCCAGGAAAGCCTGTGCAATCTTGACCATTTCGTACAGTATAAAAATATTGGGTGGTACAGAGTGGCATGGGAGGTGTATTATTGCAGCGTAAAATCCGCACATTTTCTATTTTTTTCACGAGGCGAAACTGCCCAGATTATAATGAGCAATAAAATTCCCCCATTTTACAATTTAAGCCACTCAATATTTTATTTATGTAACTGACAGAGAGATTCAAGTCCTTTACATCAATTAAGTCCTTTATAATTGGTGTCCAAAATGAACGTGAACATAAGCATGTCTGTCTGCCATGATTGTGTGTGCTTGTCAAGCAGTATAAATCAGGTCACAACCTTCTCCCGGGGTTTGGTCTGCGGCACTCTGCTGATCAAAGTTAGTAAGGGTCAACTGTTCAAAAGCCATGGGAACAAGGATGATCCTAATGGTTGAATAGTAAGTCCCAGTCACCATGGGCGAATGGGACTTTTGAATGGCTGCAATAATGAATGTCATGTAATGTTAGTTTCCTCCAATCAAATCATAAGGATCTGTGTCAGTTACATTAATTAACAAAAGAAGAATATTTGTGACTGCAGTTGTAAGAATACTTTAATGAGTTGGCAGGCACAATGTCCTGTTCCGCACGTCGAGGCTCAGCAACATGGAGTATGCAGCGTGTCACTAAGTGAAATCAGTTTTGCAATTGCATGAATAGGAAGCATTCAATGTTTTAAACAATGCCTGAAGAAATCTTCATTAGACATGCACTTTGACCTGCTCATTCTGACTGAATTCACAAGACTTTCGTCCATGTGTATGTTCCCCATTTGTTTATCCATACACACAATTTTGCTTGGCTCTATCACACAATTCTTGTGGCATGTTTGCATAGACCTCGCACTGAGATGAATAATTCATATCATTCAGCACTTCACCAATCAGATGAAGGGGATTTAATCAGTCATTGAGTGATACACACTTTTTATCATCTGAGTATATTTACAAAGGTACTTTTCAGAACTGCACATACATGTAGCCTCACAACAAAGATATCACAGCCACCTTTAATACGTGTGCAACCTTACCTGCTCTCCCCTTACATTTTTTTTTTAATAGTTAGCCTTCCAAAGCATAAAAAATCTTCCCTTGTTGAGGAAACCAATGGCACGTTCCTATTACTTGAACTTTCAATGGGCATCAAGCCTTGTGTGAACAAGTAGCATCGGAGCTGTTCATTCCTCAAACCTGCAATTTCCCCCGAAACCTCCAATTTGAATTTGAAAGCTTCGGAAGAATTGGTACTAATCGCCCTGTTATTTTCAATTCCATTTTTATCTGAACACAGATGCTGACATTCTGGTTTTACTATGTTCCATACTATGCTGCCACCATCTGGGCCCTGCTTTATCCTGGGGCATCCTGGGTGTCAGACTGGGCAATAATACATGCAGGTGCATCTGCGCAGGTACTGGTTTTGTTAAGCTTTCCTTCATTTGGTATTAAGACTGGTGCAGGAACCTGTAAATTTGTTTTGTATGTTTGGATACAGTGGTGCTGCTTGACAGTTTTGTTGGTGGGGACCAGAATTCTCCAGGAGACCACATGAACCCACACTTGTGGTCGAATTTGCTTAATACTAAAAATCTTTTCCACAGCGCAGTCCTGGCAAGGTGTAACATTAACAACCAAATTTGGTTGGAGTGCTAGCTTGTTGTGAAGCCAGATGGGCCATACATTTTTGTGCATGGACCCTTTTATTTCTATATTTTGGGCATGAAAATGTACGAGTGCTGAGCAGGGTTCTGTTAATAAACTTTTCAGTATGTCTAAAGATGTGCGTGAGATGCACAGCTTGACAGCATTGGGCCTGTATCCAGGTTTTGGGGCCACAAGATGCAAAATTTGAATTCTTCTTACAATATGTGACCCACCATCCCCAAACCAGGCTGAAGTAGGTAATTTTGAAACCCTATAATAGTGGAATCTCCACTGTTCAGATTTTCATGGGAGTCTTACAGCTATCACTACCCATAAGAAGCTTACTGCAGACAGAATTTCAATTTCACATGGATCACTTTAAAGTGTAAAAAAAAACCTGAAGGAGATGAATTGTCCAACAACACAAATACTGATTTCAGCCTGGTTTGGGGATGGAGGGTCACATATGGCATTGCGCATCTCTTTATTCAAAACCTATTTTTAAAATGGTAGGGGTGGGAGGATCCTTATGCTAGTTTCACTGGTACTTGTACATTCGATTCGTTTAAACAAAAGTAATTCAAATGTAATATAGACTCCTATATAGAGCAGCCATGTGATCACTATACATGTAGGTTAAGTCTAATTCCAAGAGTCTTCCCTGGAATGCTTGTCTGGGGTTTTCATTCATGTGTATAACTGAACACTTCTTCATTGTCCTTTCCCCCAAGGTCCCCAGGGGTAAAAGTTCATTTGAAACTGAGAGGGCGACCCTGGTTAGATAAAAAAAAAAAAAATACAGGGCTGATTTTTTGATATGGCCCCATTCATAAATACCATTTGAGTCACAAAGTCAAAGTTTTTAATTCTACTTCTTAAAAAAAAAACAAAGACTCTAGCCTTGTTATGGTATGCTCCTGTTATGAACAGTTGTAAACAATCTGCTTATTTGGAGAAGGGCACATGCTTGGCCCTGTGCGGTGTGAGGTGGTGCTCAGCCAGCCAGTGCTTTATCAACTGTGTAAGACCAGCCATGTGACAGGCTTTTAACCAGTAGGAATGGCTAAACTGTCTTAGGTATTGATGTGACATAAATTATTATATTTTCTGTTTCTACACTGTAGGCTCAGGTTTCTCACATTGGTGGTTCCCTTCACTCCAACACTCCCTACATCTACCGGGTCCCTGCAGAGGGGCGGACAGTCTTCCTGATCATAAATGTGACACTATTGGTTGTTCCACAGCTGTTGGCATGGCGATGCTACTCAGTAGCCACTGGAAAAGCCTCAGACAGCAAAGATGATTAGCATGAGCAGTTTGATGCTCATGAGTGTGTTTATGAAACGACAGAATGTGGAATAATGATTGATTTTTTGTGTAAATCTTGATGTATTCCGATTTTTAGAGTGATCTTTAAAGCATATTTTCTAATTTCAAATTGAGATGTTTGTACTTGAAAAGCTCTTTGTCGGGCTTGGTTTATACTGAACCATTAGTTTTTAAGATTGATTTCTGTGTTTTTGTTCACAGGAGTTATAATCCTCCAAAGAATATTGATTGTCCAGAAAAAATGTTGATGTATTCTTAACATTATTCAATTATCATAAGAATCACTCTGAACCAAATCAAAAATTAAAGATAACACTTATGCATTACCTATTTTGACTGTAGGGCCTGAATATTTGTGAGATAGTTGAAATTGTGCTTTCATTACAGCAAATTACGCAGTTCCTGACTAAATCCCTGTCATTTGATTGGAGGTCGCCAAGCACATGGCATTTATTTACTCGGTATATTCAATAGTACATCTGTTAAGTGTACGTATTAAATATACCATTGCGTTGCCTGCATGTTGTAGGCTCAGATATGGCTCTTCGCACAGGCAAAGAACACTGCACCATGTGATGTGCTGGTAAGGGACAGTTGCAGCTCTTCACAGACGAAATTTCAGTCACAGATCAGAATGCAAACACTCTGTGTTGCACCAAGCTGAGAAAGTAAAATGTCAACTTGTGATTCAAGGATGTAGTCAGGCATTGCATAAGACATTAGGAATGTTTTACATTCGTGGAATGGGAAGAATTTCATTTGGTTTCATCTTGTGGAATGGAACATTCAATTTGACACCTCAAGAAACTGTGTAATTTGAATAATATCTCTCTGTTTTAGTTGAATAGTCATAAAATTTAAAACCCAGCTCACAGGAGGGTCCAATTTCAAAGAGCTGTTTAACAGTTAGAAGAAAAGTCGTGCTTACTGTAGTAGGTAAATTTGTTAACTGTAAGCACTATTTCATGGCAGTTTTGACCTGGTTGTGGTTATGATTGCATGTGCATCAGTGCTGCATTTGAGTCCACCACAAGTCCCTGTAAGTTCATCACAAGTCATTTAGTCTTAAGCAAGTTCACAAGCCATTCAAATGAGCTGTGACAAAAGCATTGTGTTGTTATTGTTCACCCTTTTACTTATGGCTGGCCTTGTGAAAGGACTTGAGAACGGACTTGTGATGGACTCAAATACAACACTGATGTGCATAGAGATTTCCATTTTTGCCTCCAAGGAGCTGTGCTTTCTGCTTATGACTTCCATGAAATATTTGGAGCCCTTGTTAGTGTAAAATCATATGCTTTAGCAAGTTAGCAGCACCATGAACTTGACCCTGCTCACATTATGTCATCAAATATGGTGTCTGTCTCTTCCAGTTCTGGGCCAATTTACATAATATCTTCTAAAAACTCAAATGTTATTTGAATAAGTTGAAATAATGACTCTTCTCTCAGATCAAAGCATGGGTTGATGATGATTTGTATTAAAATAAGTGAAAATTTAGAGTTTCCAGCTGAATTTATTTATAAGTTATATTCTAAAATCCATCATTTTTAATTGTTGCATGAGTTAATGTAGCCACACGATTTACCTCTAAATTTATGAGAATTTTGTCAAATGATTTACACCAGTGGAAAAAAGAGCTTTGACACAAGATGCTGCATTTTGTTTGAAATAGTTTCTCTGAAACTTTCTGGTGTGTCTAGTTCTCTTTTCAATTAAAGTTTGAGTGACTATGAAATGGCCACCACTCGTTCAGTACAGCATTTGCTTAGGCTGTGTCCGAAGCACTTGGCTGTTGCTTGACGTTATAGACAAAGTTTAGGATGGTGTCTGCAGCCGGTACTCATAGAGTGGTGTGTAAGTTTAAGCCACAGCTAATTAATTTGGACATGACCTTACTCGAGGTCAGAAATACGTAGGACCTCTTCTGTCAAAGCTTGGCTTCAAGTCTGACTGTGGCCGAGCAGTTGTTTATGGGCCTTGCATGTTTGGACCAAATGAAAAGTCTTCCATCTATGGGTTGCTTATGTTCCCTAGCAACTCTCTTATGCTTACTGTGCTAGTAAAAAAATGTGCTCCCTAAAAAAGGGAAAAGAGGAGAGAAAAGAGGAGAGAAAAAGAGTGGTGTTTGTTTTTAACTAAAAGCCATTGTTTCTGGGTGGTGACACATTGCCAATATTAAATCTTTTAATATTTTCAGGAGTTATATAAGGAATTTTAACTTTTAAACAAAATTGTGTGGAATATTTTACTCTTTTTCAGGCAAACAGTGGACACAGAAATTTTCCAGGATTTCAAAAGTGTGCTAATATGTTTCCCATAGTCTTTTGACATGGGTTACCACATTTACATTACTAATGAATAAAACATTTTATCATGACAGATATGCTTCTGTTTTTTCTCTGATCAGTTTTATGTCAGTCTCCAGTTTGCTAACAAAATTGTGATTGCCTTGAAGGGTAACTGCCAGCATTTTCTTTTAATACAAACCTTCAAAGTGCACTTTTTTTGGCTCAGTTAACTTTATTGTCAACTTTTGTTTCACTATTTCAAAGGGTATTTTGCTGCCTTTTCGGTGTTATGTCAATGAGATTTTCATAAGCAAAAATGTGATGTCATTTCAGGAAGAAAGTCTAAAATTAATGTTACATAGGTTTGTATACAAATGGTCATGCATTTTTGTAGATTTTGATGGGCTATTATTTTTTACAGGAATAAGGGAGCACCAATACTTTTCTCAAATGTTATCAGCAAGGAAGTTCTGAGTTCACGATTTGAATAGAAAAAAACCTATGCAATGAAATGCTATGTCTTCCCTAGATGACATCCCAGCAACAGGGCCTTCAGTTGTCTAAGATACCATGGATAATTTTAAGTTTAAAACTGTGTACTTTTCAGTGCATTTAAGCAAATGGGAGTGTAATTGAAAAAGAGTACCAAGTTGTAGAAAAATATTGCGTTTAGGGAAAATTAATTTCTGCTACCCTTTTAAGGATGTGATAGAGTTTTGTTTCCTACACAATGCATGAAAGTAGAAAAGTAAAGTAACACTTGATTTATTCCAAACTACTTCTTGTTAAAGTAAAAATTTAAGCAAACGCCAGAAAACTATCCCCTTTTTAAGTGGCCCTGTGGTGTAAACTGAACTACTGGAGCGCCCTCTCTTTGAAAGTCGCGTGCAAAAGTTTCTGTACGATTTATTTATGTCACGTGACAAAGTTTGTGTGACGTCACTCATCGGTGGTATATTCTTGTAGCTGGTACTCAACAGCATGTAATTGTTTCCTTGAAAAGAGATCGAGAAACTGCAAAGTGGTTGGAGGAAACCAGCTAAGGAAAGTGATACCATTATGGCGGAAGAGAGTTCCATTCATAAGCGGGACAACTGGCAGTGTTGTAATACTGGAATTTTGAGCTTTTTAATCTGACGAAGGCTCTGAGAATATGATAAAGAAAATGAACGGTAAGTTAGCATAGAGCAAAAGCTTGAAGTCTTTGCTTGATGTTAAAGCAGGCCTACATGCATTATTGAATTAAAGAGAACATGGTCATGAAGGCCGTCCGGCCTCCGGCAATCGTATTTTTCAGTTCATGCATAGTAATGGTCCGTGCAGTATAACCACGATATCATTTTCGGGAAAAGAATGATGTTCGTATATGGCAGGTTCCTCAAAGTATGGACCATTAGATAATTCTCAACTTTGGGGATTCCTTTTTTCCTGAATTGAACATCAGTTAATTCAACCAATTAACCATGTTAACAGGGGTCGAAATTAACTTCAATGTCCCCGCAGGGCCATTCATCATGGTCATGCCAGGGGGAAATGCACTGCACTGGCCCTCATGAAAATTTGGTGGTCTGGGTTTAGGCCTACTTTGAGAATTCAAAGTCACTACTCCGTGTGACTTTGAGTCAACAAGGTTTTATTTCTCACACAAAGGTGGAGGGACCACCACCACCAAGAAGCACAGCTTGTCAAGTTGGAGCCCCTATACAGACATAACTGGACATGTAAGACAAAAACGTTACATATAAGTCATCTACATACAACAATTAACAAAGAAAAAAATGTTTGATAAAAATGTGAACATACGTTTACATGGTGTTGTAACAGCCCACTAACGCTATGGGGTTTTGGAATCGGATTTTTGTTGTGAAATAATTTAGTGGTGTAAAAATTACTATTAATATAAGGCTACATGTATATTACTTTTAGTTTAGGCGTAAATCAAATTTTCCCTTGTCAGCAAACCCGATTAATCTATACCTCTTAAAAAGTTGGATAATAAGGTCTCAGACCATTAAGATACAGTACTTTAAAAAAAGAGAGATTTTACTCGCCAATTTCTTACTTCCACCCATTGACTGTTACTCCGTTCATCGTCTGTTCATGCTGTTCGTGTTTATCAGGTTCCACCCGTGTTGTGCCCACGATGACCACACTTGCTCCGCATCTTGGTTCGACCATTTTCAAAATACCTCATCTGCCGTTTTCGTGATTTGATTTCGCTGAAGACAAATACAGTAAACACAATGACACTATCATTGTAGGCCTGTCTGGAATAAGATACTGGTGTTGTTTTTGCCATAAATATGTTGAAATATTAGGTGTTGAGCTGTGTATCTGTGAAATTTAACGGGAATATACATGTTTCAGAACATTGTTGGCCCTGGTATAGAGTCTTACCTACACATAGATGTACGTATCAAGTTGTTAAAATATACTTTTTCGCATATGACCTCCAAAAGTAAAGTGTGAAGACTTTTCTTGTGATTCATGTCTTAAAAGTTGTAGTAACTACATGTACCAACGAGTAAATCTGCTCAAAGTGGCTATAAAACTGTGCCTGGCCACCAGTACAAAACCGAGAAACAAATTCAGAAAGTGTTAGATCATCACAGTGATGCAGCTATTAAAATATTAATTACATGTAATAAATATATTTAAGTAAAACACTTGTTCAACCCTCTTTAAACCTAACAGTCCCGAATAGACAAAGTACTACTTAGTAGTAAAATTTAGTACCCAGCCCTGTCGCTTCTAAGAGGACATGACATTATTATTCTCTGACGCCATAAAAAACAATAGAGAAGACAATGTACCATACAGTGTTGTGGCACTATGAATGCATGGTTTCATTACTCTCTGTACGAGTAACAACGGAATAAACCTAGCCAGAAGTAATAATTTGTAGCGCTATATGGTATATGTAGGTCCTTCGGGCTCAGATAGTTACGTAGCATTTTGTAGTACTGAGTACTCTAAGCCAAACAACACCCGGTACTGTTAGGTTAAAACCCTCCTATGGTTTAACAGCACAAATATGCCTGAAAGCCCACTTGTTCCTCCCTCTTTAATTAAGTGGACCAAATGTACAAATATATAAAAGCTGTTGTCGGCAGCGGGAGAATGTTCTGCAAACTTTGGCTGCTCATACAAAATGGCTGACATTGTCAAACAATGAAAGGGCTGTAATTTGAGTTCAGTTTCTATTCCCCTGTAATCACCACATGTGTAATGAATGAATTGAACATTTTTTTTGAGGAGCTGTAATTGATGTTGTTGGAGTTACATGTAAAGTTAAAAGGCCTTTCAAATTTGAAATAGTTATTGAATAGTTATGTAAGTGCCACCATTACATGTAGTTCTTTCTGAGGTTGACCACTCAGCTCAATAACCTAGATTTACTCTGAACTTATTCAATAGACAGATGGACTGTCATGGACATGGTGTTACTCATACCTATAGGCATCTGTATCAGATTACTAGCCAGTTGCCTGTGTAATTCATCTCTCAAGCTGCAACACTGGGTTACTTGTGACACTAGCTGACTTTAGTTTGCAAACCAAAAGCCACAAGTTCTAAACGCTGAAAGAATATCTGTTCTGCCTTGGTCCAGATTTCTTGAGCTGCTGAGCAGCTAAAGTACTCATTCACAAATGTTGAGAGTAAGAATTGGCCTTTAGGCACTGGTGTGTTATTAGCTACCGGCATGTTTAGGTTGGAAAATATGGGCGATACCAAGGTCTGCTGAGCTAAACCTTGCCCTGCTGCCCAGGCAATTTGTCCTGCTGTGTAGGATTGCCTACTTGGTCTTCACTTTGTCCATTGTGTGAACTCGGAGTTGGGGAAAATTAACACGCTCAGTTCTCAGCAGGAGAAAGGTGGCCGAAGGCAGGCTGACTAGAATTACAGCTGTTTGACTAAATAATGACCATATTTTTGGCTGTATTCTTGAAACATTCTGTACAGATCACACTTGAGCTGTAGTGTGTACATGTACATATGTTTGTACAAGATTTCTGCAAATTTCATGTAATGTAGGAAGTTTCTTTGAAGTGGTATCACATGGTACCATGCAAGGATTAGAAATGGATTTAAAAAATATCCAAGGAATGGGCTTTCTTTGAAATTGATATACATGTACCAACACTGCTAATCTCACCTCTTCAGTTGTTGCAATATCCTTGTCTCATTTAACCCACCATGGACCCATGTCGTGGGAATACCCTGAAATAGATTGATTCTGGTGAAATGTTTCTTATTTGTAAGTTGCCCACATTTGTTATTGGTAATGCACGAGTTTGGGAGAACAGAAATCATCTTTGACTTGCCTGCTTGGTAGACCTCAGTTTATAGAAATGACATTTACTCTGGGATCAGTTCAGGGCCCAATTTCATGGAACTGCTTATCAGTTTAAAAAGTCGTGCTGACTTAAGCAGAAAAATTTGTTCCCCTTAAGCACCATTTCATGGTAACGCTTGATGTGGTTGTGCTGACGGTTGCACGCGTATAGAGATTTCTGTTGTTGCATGCACATTACTGAGTTTGAGCAAATTGGCTGTGCTTGCTGCTTACTGTCTCCATGAAATACGTGGACCCTCTGTCAGCATGTGCTAAGCAGCAGTATGAAAATGGACTCAGAACACTTGCATTGGTTTTTCATCTGTGTGTTGAAGCTGTGATGTACAGCTCTTCTTTTGTTGTAAATCATTTTGTTGCATATAGCCTAGCCACACATAATACATGTACAGTGTATAACACAAACGCTATTGTGCTAAAATATCAAATTAATATATACTCAATCAAAACATTCTACATAAGATACCAGTGGGAATGTTCCGTTGGAGATCTCTTCATTTCAGATCCACACAATCTGTAAACCTGCAGTCCAGTGTAGTTTTACTAGTTTTACTGACAATTTGATGTTTTGTAATTCTGTGTGGGGTGATGTTTTAAACTGTCACAGCAAGCACATGCACAATGTACATGTATGCATTGCCTCCGTACATGTACATGTAGATTCTAAGTTGGCTCTAGACCCTAAAGTGTATCATATGTACATGTACATGTAACTACCACAAGGCCTAATACTGTACATGTTTGTGTGTGCAGTACTCAGGTACATGTATGTCATGTTTTCAAGATGTATTTTTGCGTTGGGAAGATGTAAATTATATATAACGGTTTGCCCGTACCCAACGTATATTAATAAGCACTGTATGAAAATAGTTC